GAAATTTATCAGTTTTCTCACTATTCAGACTGGGGTATCCAGGTGAAAAATCAGAGATTCACTGATTCGAAAATCACTCCGGGTGTAGAGTCTCATTCCATTTGGACATAACTGAACTTTTCCCAATAGATATACCTATTCCATGAAAACATTCATTTTCAACGTTAGTACAAATGTTTAGTACAAGAGGTGCTTCCAACTTGGTTAATCTTATAGCTCTCATCCATAACATTGCGATCTATTCTTTTATATAGGACTTTTTAACATCAATGATAGAAATCAACTCTAGGTTATTGGACTGACACCTGTCAGAAAATAACTACTTTCCTGGCTAATACCACGAAGGGCGTCGAATTGGAACACACTTGCAGACCTGTTTCGGATGGTTTGGCCACTCGTCAGAGCAGGGTATGTCTGTCATCAACATAAAGTCGATGATTTCCGATAATTGAAAATATAATTTCTCCAGAGTCTCATTCCTCAAATAAGTCTGAAGCGAACAACAAACAACAGGTTTGTAAATTTGATTTACAGCCAGTCTTCAAGTATGCCTTGAATTCGTAAAGTTTTTTTCGTATACGATGAATTGGGCAAATTTCGGATATGCAGTTTTTTACCTCGTTTACAGGCAGATGGGGCGATTACAAACATGTTGTTAGTTGTTCGCTTCAGCCTATTTCGAGAAATGTTACTCTGCACACATGCAAGTGTGTTTCAGTAATTGAAAATCTATTGCGGCAGCATATGCAGGAATAACTACCAGCAATCTTGCACTGACACCTGTCGAATATAATCCAACGCCCTTCATGGAATTAGCCAGGATAGTAGTTGTTTTCTGATAGGTGAGTGTCACACTAAATAATTATTTGAATGAGTTATTGATATTCATAAAGTATCAGCCAATGCCTTCACATGAGAATCATTATATTCCAAGCTTGGTATAATTTTGTGCTTCATAGTGCCATATGAATATTAGATTTCAGTTTGAAGTAGCAACTATAAAAATTCTCCAATTATTTCCACTCCGCGATTATTATTTTGTAGATTGTATTCATTTACCATCTTCAAGACTAATCACCCAATTCATGTACATATCAACATTTAACTATATTTTTCAGATCAGGTGCCTGCTTCATCAGTTTAACCATCGCCACATGAGATTATACCAGAGAATAGTTTTATGAAGGGACAGTGGTCTAGTTATAATAATCATAGTCATGTTATAATCATCCATGAATATTTTAGTATACACGATATTCTGTCACAAAAACCAAAAACCTACAACAAGCTCTGATGATGTCTCATTTGGCATTCAAGAACCTTCTCCACGCTACAAGTTTATTTGCTAAAAGTTCCAACATGAGTAACGTTTTTTCATCAAAAGTTGGAGAGCTAGTCAAAAGCAATTTCGTCAGAGGGTCCCACAGGATAACTTCCAACTTTCGCGAATATTGTTTACCGCCACTTCCTTGCCTACCTTCAGATAAAAGAGAGTTCTTTATGCCATCTCGTAACAAACGAATCCAAAATGTTTATCCAAGAGGAATGTTGATGCTCAAAACGGTTTAACCTAATAACGTGCGATTCCTGACGCGGATGTTATTATATTCAATTCAATATTCTGAAGATGTTTAGGTCTATAGTCCGAAGGCACGAATAGACATGAACATTCTAGCAATAAATCCGATTTGGTTTTCGAAATTACACGGAGTTGTTGAAGCCCAACACCAAACCATATTCAGGAAACTTTAGAGAAAGTACTTGTTGAAATTTTAGTGAAATTAAGAGTATTCGTGTATTGTTTTCAGAAATCATATATAATGAATGAAAAAAAGATAACAGTGAACCATCTCATGAGTATTTGAGCAGAGCTGTGCTACGAAGTAGTAATCGTATCCACTGATCATGCATCAACATGTCTACCAAAAGGGCTGTCAAAGTGAGTTTTTTCGAGCCTAATGATCACTCAGAAGAAAGAAGTCAGAACTTGACTTCTTTCTATCAGATGAAGATGTTTTCCCAATGAGACGGCCTTTTAACTACCGATAATTGCATCAGAATCTCAGAAATAGTACCTGATGCACTGGAAGAATGCACTTCTTGGCAGTCTCAGGAATTCTTGATTTCCCAACATCGATAGGAATAGAGAATATACACCACAGCTGATATTCATAAAACCAAACACTTTTTGATACGTATTTTCAGATAAACACTCACAAAGATGGTCTTCAACAAAGCAGGAGTTCCTGAAGTAGTACTTGTCATGTGATTGGCTTCACACAATGGAAGTTTTCTATTCTTGTTGAAATACCGCTTGAATTCATTTCCCAGAAAGGGTAAAAGGTCGTTAATGATAATAAAAATAGCGAAGATCAACAGGCAACTCACCTTTGAAGTAATGCAATGAATGAATACAATATTGAGTTCAAAGGATGTGAACTTTTACGGCCAGAGATAACTGCGTAAAAGTCATTTTCCAGGTTTCTAGATCTTGGTTTGCCGACACGGAAAATATCTTTCACACAATCTTGGGTTGTTGCGCTTGATATATCTCAGGTATGTAACCGTGACTGTCACTAATCAGTATCTGATGGATTGACTTGTCAGATCGTCTCTGTGAATATTGTTTGGAGCACCTCGAAAACCTTTCCTTTCAAGTCATTGATGGTACTGCCATCATCAACGCCGCTGTTAACATTGTTATGTATTTTAGTCAATTTTGTTTCCAATATATTGCTTCACTCACCATAGCAAATTGATCTTTCATTTCCATATATATGCACGTACATCGGCTGTCAATGCACATCTGTGACCACAAAACGTTCTATATTTTCACGAAGATCTGAAGAAACGTCTAGCTGGTGGAGACAGATCCTAAGTAGAAATCCATGCCACGAAAACCCATCAGTATTCTTTCAGGAAGTGTATGTGGCGTAACTGGACATCAGTATTTCGAGACAAACAAATCCACTAGCTCCGCCGAATAGTTTGTTGGTTGTGGAATTGAATGTTGACCAAATGAATGAATCCAAATGATCACGTTACTGGTATAGCAGAGTCTTTCAATGCTTCTTGAAGCTCATATCAGACATCTTTGGAATACTGCTCACACTCAATTGAGACTTAAAAATCTGTTCTGAAAAAAGCGTTCGCCTAATTGAACACTCTATCACTGAAAGCAACCTAGATACTTCCAAATATTGAAGGATTACTTTTTTCATAGTTATATATCTCAAGTACACTGCCATCCTCTCTAGATACAACTCTCGCACCACACTTTCCAAAAACTCTTTCATTTCCATTGGATTGGGCTACCTATCGGGCGCGTCCCCAGATGGCGGATGGATGAACGGCTAGGGGACTGGGAGCCCTGTCCGAGAACCCAATGTGGCCTTACGGACGGGGCCACCGGACTCCTGGTCAGTGGCAGAAATAAGTAGGGTGAGGAGTACCAAACCTTCCCAAAAGCCTTTGCGAAACATTCCACCGTCGATCAGCCTACCTAAGCTAAGGTGTAAAGAATCGTGTCGACTGCTGAATGGCCGCAGGGTGATATGCGGTTACGAACGATCCCCTTGGGGAACCGGATGGAACCTCATCGTAATCAGCCTTCCTCTGGTAATGCGGGGCTCTGTCAGAGTGACCAACTCTTCCCCTGCTACTCCTGGGAACACACATTGATGAAACAAACACAAAAACAGACACAGAAAAAACAAATAACAATCCCAAGGCTGTGGCTGGGGATGAACAGAAATGTCCACCACAATCTACCGCTCGGAATGAGGCTGGACAGGGTAGATCACCTCGTGATATAATAAAAAGGCCAAGGCGTGAGCGCATTTGTGGCGCCGAGGCCAAAAGGAGAAAGAGAGCGATTGATGCAAGAGTGGCAGCAACTATAAGTTGCTCCTCCCCCACTCCACCTCCAACAGCAAGGGCACTTCCCTTGAATAAAGGCAAGGAACCGGCTGCCACTGTAGAAAAGCGCCTCCATTTGAGCACCTCCACGGAGGGAACCTCAAGAAGGTTGAAGAAGCCGCCCAGTGACAATAATGTCGCTGCACCTTCCAAAAGCTTCATGAAGACCACCGTCAGACAACTCAAGGTTGCCAAAGAGAGTATGTGTTCGGCGAGTCTTGGCCTTCACCTGCCGCTATAGAGGAGATGTCTTCCAGTGACCTGTCCACCTTCCTGGAAACGACAGGATGGACAATGACCTAGTAGGAAAACTCCTCGGGAGGATGTACAATGGGTCACATGTGGCCTAAGTGCTTCTGGGTCTATACTCACCCTCGCTACTCTACAGATACAGATACAGAACTGTTTCATTTGGAGAACAGTATTTTTGCATAAAAGTTGATAATTATGTCTCGTTTGAATTTTTGCGATGTCAAAATTTACTGTTCTTTCGATTTCAAATGACTACGTAGAAAATTTTCATCAGTTTCGAAAAATAAATCCATATGATTTTACTGAAAAAACATGAACATTTGTTATGCGACATAATCTTATAGTATTTCTGATTGATTTACAATTATCGTAGGCAGTCTTCGATATTGTCGAAGATTGAACATCAAATTGCGTTTTGCTTTTCAATTTGCTTTTCTTTGTTAGTACCTTAGCTAACAAAATTCGTTGACTGTTTCCAGGATTCTTTAATTATTTATAATGTTGAATTTTGGTCTCATACTTTCCTCAAGGTGGTATGGATCAGTCAATAGATAATATTGTTTACAGCAAATAGATCGGATGCAATACATTCTGTTATCAGTTGCAACCGAGACTGTATCTCCCAATTCAGTGAATGAATAAAATTTCATGATTGAATGATATGGATATCACTTCCTGAAAAAGAGATGAAACAATTTTGAAAAAAATTTTGTACGGTCCTTGATAATGCACAAGAAATATTTCATCGTGTCTGTGTATCCCCTATTCCAAACACGACATGTTATCTTAGTGGCGAGATAAAACTGGTGTTGTTTATAAAATAGGTCACAGATTAGAAGAGACATATTCATAATAGAGCTGTAACTTGTTTCACACTCCACTTCATTTTTACAAGCTGAAGATGTTTCTACAGGTGTTAGTTATATGTGTCTTGTATATTCATTCAACTAATCAAGTTGTGATACCACCAACTGTTTCAGGTGAGTGGAATCAATTTTACTGAATGTGTTCAATTTTTCAATCAATGTGTTGACGCTAGCGGGTAGTTGATGAAAATACATTATACCGTATTTAAACGTCATCTAACAAGACCAAGGAAGCTATGACATGTTTAGTTTTCATATACAAGTAGGAAGTTCTGATTCAAAATGATCATTAAACGTTTGGAAAATTCACTATTTCTTCTAAATACTTTGAATCATCATGTGTTTTCATTCAATTAGTGTGTGTATTTGTGATTTATAGTTTGGAATTGGTGTAGTGATGAATATTACAGAAGTTTCATCCCAACACCAAACTATTATTTTTGACACCCCGATTATTATCTTCAAGAGGACGAATAATTTTTCTCGAAACACGTGTCGAGGTGTTAAACACAACGATTTGTTGTTGGGATGAAACTCCAGTGATATGATATTCAGTACGTGTATCTTTATGCGCCATCATTTTGCTCAAATGTTTCATTGAATTTTCAACATATATTACATACGCAAAATAATGATATTTTTTTCACGACTATTGTATGTCTGTTTGCTCAACCTTAATAATACCCATTGACCACGGCAGTTATTAATGAGTCACTAATTATTGCTGTAGGTGTTTTTTTAATTTAGCTATATCATATTGTTTTGCTACAAATGATCGGGACCTGTGGTTGGAAGGCAAGAAACATCATAACAGTTTTTTAATGTACTATGTTCTTCAAAATATTCTATACATCGAAATAGCTTTTGAAAAAAAAACAAGCCAACATTATTGTTTGTGTGCATATATTTCTCAATGTTTTGATACTGTGTGTTAAATTGTGTTAAAAAACGAACTTGTTTTCAACACCACCAGATACTAGAGAAGCTGTTAAAGTTGCCTCACTAAATTTGTTGAACTAGCAAAAGGAAAAGAAAACCATTTCATTTTCTATGTCGACTTTGTCAGTATACTCCACTGAATCATCCACTAAATACCTTACTCAACGTACGTGATATTTTTTAAGTTAAACAGAAAAACTTTTGTGTTGATTATTATGAGATACTATACGCTCATTGAAATTTTCGTTAACTATATACTGTGTATAGATGAACAAAAATGTAGTGAATGAAACACTTGTAGAAATAAAATAATAGTGTTTCTAAAAATATGTATGCAATATAACGAAATTTTCCAATAAATAAAACTTCAGCAAACATATTTATTAGTCGTGGATGAAGCATAGTATTCTACAGGCGTATAATGGCTTTTATTTTCTCGGTGATTTAGGCCACTTGCCTGTGGCTCGTGGCCGTAAACTTCGCATCGTGAATAATAGCCATCATCATTCCCTCGTCAAATGAAATACTATTGTGTCATCTTCTCGACTACATATTCCTTGAAACGAGGTTTATTTAAACATATTATAGACTATAGCTTCATCTGTATGTATGTATGTATGTTTGTTTGTAACTCTCCTTGCTGTGAGTAGCCTCCTTGATAAATCGACATTATTGCTTGATCTATTCGCGGGCAGATGGCGCTGTACGTAACGTCCTTGATATAATTCGAACTCACTTTACATTTATCTCTCCATTTCGAAAAAGTATTTTTTTTATTAACACGCGCTTTCTGCTTTATTTGTAACCCTCCTTTGCGCGCCAGCTGCCTCATTTGTAACCCATTGAAACAATTTACGGCTGATTGATCCCAAAGTTCAGACAAAATAAATATAGTTTAAAAAAATAAAAAACACGCTTTTGAAGAACATCGAACTAAAAAGTTAAAAATATTTTTTTTCAAATAAGCTTGAAACAATAACGAACGAAAAATACTAGTATTATTGTGAAAAGAGCGTGGGCGGTTTGTGCCATATTTTTTGTTTATCATGCGGCCGTCACATTTTTCAGAATAATACTAGTATTTTTGTTTCGTTATTGTTTTGAGCTTATTAAATTTTTTTTTAAACTTTTTAGGTCGATGTTCTTCAAAAGCCTATTTTTTAGTTTTTCAAACCATATTTATTTACCCATAGTTTCATCAAATGGTATGTTGTGTCAAAGTAAATGATTTTCATTTATTCAAATTATTGGGTTTTATTGTTGTTGCAAATATTCCAAACAATATATTCTACTGGAAATAACCATGATGAACATTTGACTTTTTCTTCATTGATTTGAAAAATTTTCTCTATTTGGTTTGCCTTGAAATGATCTGAATAGTTCAAATAATGATTGTTGGAATTCTGAAATGATTCTTGAGAATCATTGAAATTTTCGGTCATCAAACGAGACTTTGATTACTCAGAAATGGTATTCGAAATTCTCGATAAAATTATGCACTCCTTTTCAGTGAATATATTTTGGCTATATTCCTACGATAAAAGTGTAGAATGCATATGTAAGTGAATTCTAAATTCTGGTATGCACACTTTGTTATTGAATTGATTCGAAAGTCAACTGTGATTTAAAAAAAAATCACCTTAATTTTCAAAATATTTTGTAGGGATCCAGTATTACAAATGTTTTTTACTATGAATATTTCTAATTTCATTCTGGAGAATGATTAGAATTACTCATATCTATCAGAGAAAACAAAGTCAGGGCCCGGATTTTGTTCTGACCAATCGTGATATTAGTCGTGGAAGCCCGTGTCATATTTGGAAAAATATGACATATTCTTCTTCGTTATATTTGATTCTTTGTTGAATTTCGTCAAAATCCACATTTATGAAAAGTATTGTAATTGGGTATCAAGAAATATTATTCCTAACTACGACAAAATATTTCCAAAACTCACTTCCAATAATAAAAATAATGGTGAATGAGGAAGGAATCAATATTATGAGAACGATTTGGATTTCCTCAGTTGTGAAAGACACACTATTATTTTCCACTGATGACAAGCTTTTCAGATGATGAAAACATGATGTAGAATAATGTAATTTGATTTCATGATGGTTTCGTTTTTTTTTTCAGGAAATTCCTCGAGGAATATCACTCATGAACATTTGACCCCTCTGGTTCCGCTATTTCATTATGGAAATCGAAGTTACTATATGGGAGTACATATGAAAGTGAGTAGGTATTGTTATGAATATCAATTGTTCCTTTCAAATGCTAATTGAAGATTTTGTAAGGGCTGAAAATCATTCGCTTGTTTTAAAAGTTTCGCTCGTTTTGATGTCATGCATTTTTGTAGCTCCATTTCTGAATAAATATTCATTTTCCGTATTGTGGTGTATAGTGATAGATGGAAAATTTTGTAGTCTATACTTTGATGCTATTAATTTGTTTTCCAAATTTCCATTCATTGACTTTTCCTATCTTACTATCATAGGATGTCTTTGAGCGATTTTTGGCCAATTTCAACCGAAGCGCTACCAAAACAGCCCAAAAAATCAAGCAGGTTTTTGGCACCATTCGACGTTGGTTTGTGGAATTTCATTTCGAAAATTTCAGCTCTGTTGATGAGTCCCGAAGTGGTTGACCTATAGTAATCCAGAACGAGAATTTGAAGACCCTGTTGGAGACTGAGCCATCACAAACGGAGCGTAGAATGGCGGAAGTGTGTGCCTCACGATTTGAATGATCGACAGAAATTGTCACGTTTTGAGGTCTGTTCTTCCTTTCTTTCGCTCAACCCAAACGTCACGTGCAATGAAAAGTGGATCCTCTACGGCATTTTCCAAAGACGAAACTCCTGGAAAAAGACCATGACTGTATAGTTTCGAGTGGCTTGTGTGATTCACTAAAACTTTGCGTCAGCATCAGCCGGTACTGGTCAACAGAAGAGGTCCTATCCTGCTCTATCCGACTCCCCCCTCCATGCCCCCTCCCGGGTTGAGTGCCTTGAGTTGAAATCTTCCGCATACGGTTATTGTGTGCAGAACACCCCTTCTTGTCCATCCACCCCCGCTCCTCCGGAGCGGTCCTCAATGTACTGATGAGCGCTTCAGCAAGATTGATATCTGACCTACTGCGATCGAAAGCCATCATTTGGGTGTTTTTGCTTTTTTATCTAGTATTTCAATAAATCGTGACTTCACTTGAATGTAATTTATTGCATGGGGCTCCCAATAACTAACCGGAGACGAGTGTCTTTATATCGCGAGCATATGTTTCCCAATGAGTCTGAGAAAAAATTGGATTTGAAATCTGGTTAAAAAGTTTTTATACTAACCGGAGCCGCCTGATAGCGACTCTCGGGGGTGGTCTCTGATTCTGCTTGGTTGGCCTCTTGTGTTTGTCTCTCTCCGGAATCTTGCGTCCTCCCTGTTGAGTGCTTCGTGTAGATCGCGCAGTGATGGACTGTGGTGTGATCGAACTCTTTCACGTTTTGTGCGTGTTCACTCATATACGCGTCTACGTAGTGGATGTTCAGGTCCAGGTCCCGGTATATGTATCTATTTGTTATGTATATCAGAGCGTTTATGGTGGCTCGCAACTGTTCTTGAACGCCTGTATATTGCGTTTGTATGTCCTATAATCGGATGTAGGTTTTGTCAAGCGGATCTTGCCAGCCCTAATCTCTGCCGTACGTAGGCCCTATACGTATTCTGTCGAGAGTGAATCCCAGGAATTTCGCTTCGTTGGCCCACGGAATCTTTTGTCCGTTGGAGGTGACGTTTTCTTCTGGGTGTACCATCCTCCGTATGAAAAGTATTGCCTGACTCTTGTCAGGGTTTATGCTGATCTTCCAAAGGATGGCCCATTCCTCTAATCTGTCCGCCTGCTGTTGCAAGTATCTGGAAACTTGTGCATGGCTAGTTGACCTCGCCAGTAGAGCTGTGTCGTCCGAGTAGAGTACCAACTTGTTGAAGTTGTTTTCTTGGGCTTGGGCACGTCTGCTGTATATACCGAGAAGAGGTGTGGCGAAAGTACTGCACCTTGTATGACTCCTTCTTCCAGTAGTCGCATGGTGCATCCGGCTCCGTCCACACGTATCACGAATCACCGTCCGAAAAATGAATTAATTGAGCATCAAATCTCTGCCTCACCCACCTAAATCGCCAGGACCAGGCATCAACTTCTTTGAACGAAATGAATTCACGTTGACAAAAGTACACTGATTCAAATAGCGCTCATTTCGAATGTATTGAATAAGTATTTACTGAGATATTGTAGTTCGAAGTAGACTTATGAAAACGAACGAAACTTTCGAAACAACTTAATACAAGTCGAGAGTTCAAGTGTTTTCATTTGGAAACCATTCTCTCAACGACTGTTTCATTGACTGAGTTTATTTGCTATCATCAATTTATGTGGATCCAAACTATTCACTCTCAGTAACTCTATCATAGTTCAAACATTAATAGAATAATTACATTTTTTTTCACCCTTACAGCTTTTTAATTTGTCAATTTGAGTCACGAATCTCATTAGCGTCATCTTATTTTGGTTTGATTTATTTCCTCAATAGGATTTCATTCAAATGGTTTGATTTTTGGGAAAAAAAGTTTTTTTTTAGCTTTATACTTCTCTATCTTGATATGAAAAATGTGATATCTGCTCTACATTCACCAAAATTTCATCTTGGAATATTCATAAACATTTGAAATGAAATATCCAATATTTGTAAAAATAACATTGGAATTGAAAAGGAAGGCGAAAAAATCCACCAAAGCGTCGAATTACATTTCAGTTTTTCTATTGTGGAATATTTTTTCATTTCAGGTCACGTTTCTACAGGCTAAACAGTTTTGTGAAAATATAGATATGAAACTTGTCTCCATAGAGTCAGCGGAAGAAAATGACAGAATGTTCAAAGAAATCAGAGAATTAAGTAAGTGATTGAATGTGGCAAATATTTGTTTTGACGTTTTTGTGTCTATGAAGGAAGTCAATCGTGATGAAAACTTTTATATTTTCAATTGAACAACTGATATTATATGTATTCGAAGCAGTTCCTTCAATACAATAGACATCAAAAGTACTCCATTCGTTTAGTATCAATGAACGTTTACTGTATCTCCTGTAATATGAATGTGAAACACCAGGTCGAAAAGAAGAGATGATAATAATGATGAATTGGAATTGAATTCAAACAACATCCTCAACGTTTCTGTATTTATGGAGTGTTGCAAGAAGTCATACATTTCTGTCATACACATATGATATGATCATTATTGTCGTGTGAGATATAGTGAATCATATTTCTACAGTAATACAACTAGTATTTCAAAAAAGTTATGCTGTGAGATTCAATATACCAACTCATGGTAAAACAACGTTCATTCTGTTGAAATTTTTGAGGAATTCTGAATTCATTATACTTCTACGTTTCGTCATACAAAACGGCATTACTGAAAAAAAAAGTGGACATTTGTCGTAGCATGAATAAAATCAACGAGATTCATCAAATACTTTTTCGTGCAAGTGAATTGTAACGCCTTGAATTTTCAAAGACTGATATTTCAAAAAAATGGAAGCGATCTCTGAAATGGTAGTGTCTTGCTTTTCTCATTCAACAGAAAGCATTTTTCCCTACTTTATCACCTGATTGAACTTGGTAACTGATCGACAAGTGAGCTGCAATAATAATGCAGTTTTTCATAATCACTGGTCTCGTGGAAAATTATCTGCTTCAAATAATTTCACTTTTGAAACTCTGACTTTTCAGATAAAGGAGATGAGTACTGGTCTTCGGGATCAAGGATGGTGGATGGAAAAGAATGGAGGTGGATGAGTACAGGAAAGAGGTTCGAATTTTCAAAATGGGCTACTGGTCAACCCGATAGCCCTGTGGACCAATGTACTGTGCTAACTCATCAGAAAAATGTGGGTCTCTTCTGGAATGACCGGGACTGCAATTTACTATTTTGGTTCATTTGTGAGAAGGAGTTCGATGCCGGAAATAATTACACTGAATTGCGAGTCACCGGTAAGTATTCCAATTTGAAAAAAATATCCATTGATTTTTTCAACATTGAAGTTCTCGTGATGTCTCGTGAGGTCGACTTGAGTCTCATCAAATTTCTAAACTATGTTCAAATGAAAAGAATACCACTGGTAAATTTTATTTATACACCGGTTTCGGGTTTGACCCAATTATCAAGTATAAAACTGAAATCTGAATTTAAAAATATCGTTTTAATAGAATTTTCTGGTATGCTGCAAGGACAGGTATTCGAGAGACATAATGCCAACTTAAAATACCACCCTGAAAATTCTAGGAGTTGTTAAACTCATAAATTTAAGAGAGGTGACCTACATGAATCAAGTTGCTCGTTAAGGGGTATGTTTCTGGTTTTTAATTGATTTGTTAATTTCCATGGCCTCCAACAGATTCATTTTTCTCCCTTCATTACATATATGTAGGATTTCGAGGTTATCTTCATTCATTCAGAGTATGGCGAGTGCTTTGCAATATACAGGCCAAACCGGTAGAAATTTTACTTAAGACTGCGTGAACACGTCTGTTTGGACGAAAAATCTGCAATGTACAAACATCTTCAGGAATCAAACCACAAGATGAATAAAGATAACCTCAAAATCCTGCATATATTCAGTAAAGGGAGAAACATGAATCTGTTGGAGGCCATGGAAATAAACAAATCAATTAAAAACCAGAAACATATACCCCTAAATGAGCAACTTGTTTTATTTAGGTCTCCTCTCTTGAATTTATGACTTTAACAACTCCTAGAATTTTCAGGGTGGTATTTCAAGTTGGCATCCTGTCTCTCAAATACCTGTCCTTGCAGCATACCTGAAAAGTCTATTGAAACCGATATTTCAAAATTCATATTTCAGTTTTATACTTGATGATGGGGTCAAACCCGAAACTGGTCGTATACATAAAATTTACTATTGGTATTTAGACAACAAGTGTTTTTATTCATTTCATTTGAGTGATCATGAATTACAATAAAGTAAACAAGTCATCAATCACAAATATGCCATACTATGCAAGTTGTAGTCAATTCAGTTCGAATTTGACTTTTTTCTCCATACAAGTTATTTTCTGTTACTGCATCGCCTTTAATATCATTCCAATATATTTAGAAACAATCAACATTGTTCCTGTGCTTTAACTTTCTCTTCAAGTACGATGAATTGAGTCCATCATTGAGTAGGCCTCTACGATTGAAAATTATAAATATATCAGCAATTTATGATATGATATGAGTAATCTCCATATTTGGGAACCTAAACATGTAAACTCACAAATTAGTTCGATTGATGACCTATTTATTTTGTGGAAGTTCATAGTGAATAAAGGATAGGGAACATGACTTTTGCATGAATTCGACTGAGACTTTCATTCGTTAGGAGCGGTTTCGGTTCATTGAACCATTCTCAAGTTTATTTGAGCACGCCTTAATGAGCCATCATCAAATCGGAATTGTCAACGATGCATATTTTTTTACTCATCAGGAATACATTTTTGATGAGGTATGTAACAGCTATCATTTTTCATTCTCAGGTTCACTGAATCCAATACAGATGACACCTTTGTGGCCAAATATCAAACTCCTACATTTCAAAAATAAGAGTTATTACTTTTCAAGACAATTCAAGGTGAGTGATTTAGAAATATCTATTACTCAGTATCACTATTTTCCGGGTTTGAAGGCCGTCGATTTTTGGAATTTTTGTCCGATATTTCGCTAGTGCGAGTGGCTATCTTCTTTAGAGGTCGCCACTCGCGCCAGCGAAACGTCAGAAAAAAATTCAAGAAATCGAAGTCCTTCAAACCCGGAAAATAGTGACACTGAAAACTTTGACCGCGAAAGACTCAACCATTTTGTCAATATCTATTCTTCTTTCAACAAATCGCCATTAATCATCTAACAAACAAGAAAACGAAATGACACTTTGATACTTGATTAGACACTGGAATTTACAATTTATCAACATTCGATTCCAGGGAAATTTTCTACAAGCTGTTGAGTTTTGCCAGATGATCAATATGCAGCTTGTTACCATCACCTCAGAGGAAGAAAATTCTAGAATACACAAGTATATTAGAGATACCAGTAAGTATTTTCCAATTGGAAAAGGAAGGAATCATGTTAAATGACGTTGAGTATGACGTTGGAGTATTCAAATATTGCCACAAAAACAATTCTCATTCCAGAAACTTCTTCCATTTCGGTCTATCTGTAGAATAGGGAGGGTGAGTGTAGGTCCACAGCACTTAGGCTACTTGTGATCCATTGTACATCCCCCGATGAGTTGTCCTCCTAGGTCATCGCCCATACGTTCTTTCCAGGAAGGTGGACAGGTCACTCGGAGACATCTCCTTTATATCGGCAGGTGTAGGCCAAGACTCGCCAAAAACACTCTCTTATTGAGACTTGCATAAGACATATCTGAAAGTTTCATTTTCCTGTTCACACATCCTGCATAGAGGTGTGTCAACTAGCCCCATAATATGGAAGTGTTTTCTCAGTTGACAGTGGCCAGTCAGAAATCCTACTGTTAAGCATAGGTTTTTCGTGGTCTTCGCCAGATATTTCTTTGGCGTCAGCTTCCCAGGGTCGCCCAAGGTGATCTCGGCAAGACTGCATCTTTTGATTTCATCCCATCTCTTTAACATTTGGCTAGTTCCGCAATTGTCGGAGTCATCAGACCGTAGGTGCCACTGGGTCCTGAAATTCTCAGTCTAGCCGCTTCTTTGGCTGAAGAGTCGGCAATGCGATCACCTTTATTCCTGTCATGCCCTTCAATCCACCTCAGGATTTCGGTCTGATATCAGTTTCAAAAAAAGGTTTCCAGATCCAATCTCTTCCAAAAAAATGATACATTTTGCTGATTAAAACCATTTTTGATGTATCTAATCCATGCAAAAAATTACTCTTAATCTTTAAAGCAGTGGTAGATGTCCAGGAATACATCTGTTACAGTTTTGTTTATCTGGAAACCAACTGGTAACAAATTTCATAAACTACACCTTACGATTTGATCTCCAAAGAGTTTGTGGTAAAAGTGTAGTTTATGAAATTACTATGGATCTTCATCAGTGAAGTGTAGTTTATGAAATTACTATGGATCATCATCAAGTATCGACCGAATCAATCAGCAAAAAATGATAGCAAATTGCCAAAAACGACTCTCCTCGATAGGAACACTCAACAGATCAGTGGTCTGAGTTACTGGTCATACTGGCCTAGATGGCAATGAGGCTGCTGACTCCCTTGCAAAAGAGGTTGCTGCAAGCAGCTTCATCGAACCAGAACCTGTCTTTGGCATCCCTTAGACTTTGTCAAACAAAGATTGAATACCTGGATGGTGAAAATATTTATGGACTTGTGGCTGGATCTTCCAGGATTGGCTTACTTCAAGGCGTTTATTCACCCTTCGAAGCTTGATACCAAACAGTTGTTGGACTACAGTAAGGATAAACTACGATCTCTAACAGGTCTTCTCACAGGTCTCATATTCACAGACTCGGACTATCAGAAAACAGTGTGTGTCGTCTCTGTTTCGAAAATGATGAAACAGCCCTTGATGGTTGCGGTGGAAGGGTGAATAAATCCACTAACTTTGGAGCTAACCTAACGTAACCCTAACGTAACCTAGTTGTAGTAATTTCATTATCGTTGAGCAATATCCTTTTCAAAAACCCCGTCTACATTTGGCAATTGATATATTTTCAAGAATCACCATTCACGTGATTGTGAGGATTCCTCTATCGCCTCGATATGGATTTGGTCGAATCTGATTTCCGTCACAATACAGATCCAAATAAAAATTATTGGGAATATTGATCAAAATCGAATATGAATCATATCAACTTTCCAGTATATGTATATACGTAGGTCTATTTGATCAGTCTTACTGATACTTGTGTGTTGATTTCTGCATTATTATGATACGAGAAATATTACAGTTGGTGGTGACAGTTGGTGGACTTCCGGTAGCAGAATTCTGGATGGTGAAAGATGGGTCTGGATATCAACAGGAAAGCAAGTTGAGTACACAAACTGGTTAGTAGGACAACCAGATAATATGAATGATCTCTGCATCAATCTAATTCATCAACGGAATAACGGGCTCTTCTGGAATGACATCAACTGCAACACTGCTATGCAGGTCATTTGCGAGGCGCCGAATGCAGATTATAACTATGAAGAAGAAAGACGCAATAAGAAAGGTACATATTATGATAACTATTGGGGAGGACGTGACTGGAGGCCGCTAGTTGATGTCAGAGACGATAGTGGAGGTAAGCCGAGTCACTTTTTCACTATGGTTGTAATCTCTGAGATACTACAGAGACTATCGGCAAATACTGAGTAGGGAATATTATTGAAGTTGAGGAATTAATAGGTCATATGAACTTGTGATGCACTGTTTGGAACCTTTGGTGTGGTAATGAATATTACTGGAGTCTTTTCTCAACACCAAATCGTTATTTCTAACACATAGACAAGTGTTTCGATCACCAAGTGATCATCTCCAATAGCAAGATTGAACACATTTGATAACATTTAATTTTCCTCCCGAAAATTATCACTTGGTTATCGAAACATGTGTCGTGACGGTTTGGTGTTGAAAAAAAACTCCAGTTATATTCATTTATCAAATACGATACAAAAAGTGGAGAATAAAATATTTCAAAGCGAACATTCAAAAACAAATATGGAGTCACTTCATTATGAAAATCCTCAAATCGTGATATGAAAAAAAAGATTAGGGAAATAGAAACCTCAATCATAGCCTGAGAAAAATAACATGGAGTTTAATTATTGCCTCGTTGAAATTAGAGCTCTAAAGGAAGGTTTTCAATTCCCCTGAGATCAATATCGTATTTGTTTCATTACATATTTTATTGTGATCATTATTCAACATTGAGATGGCTGTAGAAAGCTTTCCTCAAAAGATGTACATTTGCTCTCGCGGACTCAGTTAACCGGTGGCAGTAGCGCTGGACTTTGTTTCAAATATATAGTAATGTGGTAATCTTGACTGTTTTGAATGTGCCAATATCTAATTTTCTTTTTGGAATTGAATAATTCAAAATATATTGCTTCTTCGATAGATTCCTTTATCAATTCATATGATTGAACTAGCCAACATTTTTGACAAAGCAACAGTATCAACATTCATCCTCAAATGTATTTTCAAACATTTCAAGAACTGTATTGTAATATCTCCTGTACAATATTTTTCATCAACTGGGTATTTTCGGATCACAAAAATTAATTTGGAGGTTAGGGAGCGTTTTCAACTTTCTAGATTATTGAATTCATGAATAATTGATTCATCACTCAGTCGTACTATCTAAAAAAACTCACTTCTAAATCAATACTTGTTATTTTTTTTCAGATTCCGAATGGTTGCGTAGAGTGAGACGAGTTCCTCCTGGTGCGATACATATGTCTCATCAAGAAGGAAAAACTTTCCACGTAGAAAACGATCTAGAGGTGAGATATCAGCTCTAACAATTTTTTCTTGAATTCCTTACAAAAGAAAATTTATTTGGCTATATCAAAAAGTAACCTAAATAAAAAATCCGTGGTGGGAGTTTGCAGACATTTCGAAACTGTCTATAATAATAAGTTTCTGGGATGATAAATATATGCATGGTACACTTATAAAATGACTACTTCTGGGGTAGATACTCTTCGAACCTGAGGCCTGCATCCTCAACTATTGGCAACTGTGTAACCTCAAAATTTGCAAACATGACATGATCAAACAATTTGAACCGATTCAATAAGCCTCAATTATTTCTCATTTCCATCTTTGACGATATTTCAATATAATGAAAATTGTAGAATTTTGAAATACATTTTACTAATTTTTCATGATGCAATAATCATCATGAAACTTGTATTGAACATTTAGAACGATGATTCCTCAGTTACACCTTCATTTTCTTAGTTGTGTTAGTTTCAGTTCGTGTTGATATACTGGGTAGTTTTTTCTTTTGATGATGATCTAGGAAATTGATCAATATCAAGAAAAACGAAAACTCATCGCCTGGAGTGAAAGTAGTATATGTTAAACAACCCCTTTCCCTTTTTCCAAAGTAACTCAGTGTATGATATGTGTAATATTCGTGAAACAGAAAATCAAATAACTTTCCAGAGATTTCTGTCCTGAAATAATACACTTTTATACTTTATTCATATAATATATTTTTCAGGGGACTCAAGCTGAAGCTGTCGAGTTTTGCAATTACCATAACATGCAACTGCTGGAGGTGGATGACAAAAAAGTTGATATTATCAAACGACTTTTATCTGATTCAAGTGAGTGAAACATATTTTTGGTAGCTACTGAATATATTTTATTTCGAATTTCATTAGTTCGGACTTCCATTCTCTGATATTATATAAAATGATTTGAAATCCCTGAAAGAACTCAAGAAAAAAGAAATGAAAATGAATAGCTAAACAGTTATACTACAACAGTTGTATTGAGGAAATAAATTCTGAAATGCAATGATAGAAGCTATCCGAAGACAAGGACCTGAAAGATAGAACGAATTTACCTATAGAAGTAATTATGGAATTACTAGGATGATGTGTACGAAACTGTTATTTCCAACTGAAGGACGAATTTTTCACACAAGATGAAGGACTGCCAATGGGATCACCACTTTCACCAGCCATAGCCAACAAATATGATGAGTGGTTTGAAACTCTGGCCATTGAACAAGCCCACAAGAAACCTCGTGTCTGGTTGAGATACGTTGACGACAACTTCATAACATGGAACCATGGGAATATTGAAGTAGATGCCTTCCTGAAACACATCAACAGCGTGAAACCATCTATCACTGTCACAATGGAGAAGGAAGTCCACAACGAATTGTCATTCTTGAACGTATTGGTGAAGAGGCCCGATACTAAGTGGGAAACATAGGTACACCAAAAACCTCACTCACACGGGACAGGAACCATCAAGAATCTATTAGAACGTGCTTTCGGGCTCTGTAATACGAAGGAAGGTCTCGACAAGGAACTAGACATCATCAAAACTGATCTTCAACAGAATGGTTACTCCAAAGCGATGGTAGCTAAAAGACAGCAGGATCCTTGCAAGAAAGAGAAGCTGTCAGAACCAGTGCTAGTACTTCCCTACATCAGAGGATTATCGAAGAAGATAGGAAGAATTGGTCCCAAGTACAACAGCAGAACTTGCTTCGGATCCGGAAACACTATCCGTAGTAGCCTCACAAAAACCATGCCATCAAACGCGGAATGCGATTCGAAGAATTGCATTTACCGGATATCCTGTGAGTTCGGAAAACTCTGTATCGGTGAAACTAAGAGGCCATTGAATGTTCTTATTGTCGAACACAAGAAACACACATAGCGAGGGTACCTAGCAAATCAGGAATAGCAGGGGCATGTTTGGCACATCAACATAACATCGAGTGGTCTTAAGCTGAGATTATACAAAGAGAGGAACTTTGGTTTAGGAGAAAATTCAAAGAAGCCTCATGCATGTTGTCCAACAATGTATTAAGCCAGGCTAGCGTAGCGATACGCAACATATGGAAACCCATAATCAAGCGAAAAATGGCCAACTCCCAGTCAAGCGGAAAAAGGAAAGCGGAGATAAGTTGAAGTACTCGAATGGTCCATAAATAGTCATCTCTCGAAGGAATTAGTCCAGTCATCACCCGAAGACAATTGTGGATACCAACAATCGGAACATCGTGAAGTAACTTGGCTTGGAATCTCTCAAATTTTTTATTTTATTTCTGTTCAATTGTTCTATTTTCACTTGTATTTTATTTCACTATTATTTCATTTCAGGTTCTTTCTGCTCGATATAACTGTTTTTTAGCAATTCATTTTTAATTCTTCTTTCAGGGATTTCAAATCATTTCATATATTATCAGACAATGGAAGTCTGAACTAATGAAATTTATCATGAAACATTGTCAATCACGTTCAAACAAATATTTAGTTTCAGTTATTTGAAATTGCAAGTTACTTACTTGATAATTATTGAATATATTTCGGCTGGTATACTGTTGAATTATGCTTGCCGAATGGAGATGTATCACAAACACATGTTTCCACATAACTCTTCAGGACGCGGGTGCTAACTTGATGAGAAATTTCAGTATTTTTTCAGTGACCGAATTTTTGAAAATATACTCCTTTCTGCCAATCACCTGACACACGGCTATAATATCAGCAGAAAATCATTATCAACCTCGATTTTTATTTTAGAATCGGAGGTTGTGGATCAAAAACTCTTCATGTTCCATTAGCGACTGGATGAAGAATAATTCCAACTGTTCTCGTCTGTTCAATACCCTAACAAATACCTTTCTATGAATGAAATGCCACATCTAGACAGTGAGCTGAGATTTTCGGGATATGCAACTTATGTGAGATATCATATACTACTCTCAGACAATTGTTCCCAAATCGTGACCTTCTTTCCACAAAGATGAAGCTGACATTATGCGAAAGTCTCATTTTTTCAAAGCTCTCATAATGTGACAGTGTTTATGGACTTTCCTTACGCCTATGCGATTTCATCTTTCTGCGGAGGATACAAAATGTCTGCATAATGTGTGAGTGCACTATTTTCTTAACCCTTATAACTCAATATGAAGAGCAAGATTCAAAAGTGTCCCCAATGCAACTGTAGAAGAGAGTTTTCATTGATCCCATCATTCCCAAACATGCTAGTATTTTAACCCTGCTTGGTTTGTTTGTTGATAATGGTCGTCCGTTTCATCTTTGGCCACTAGACCTTAGAAGCATATCTTATCATGGAAAGTTATCATGAGGTTACACCGCCCTGCTGTAGAGCCATTTCATCAGCTCTGTTTCGAGCCTCTTTGTCTGTCCGTAGCTTCGTCTGGCCAGAATAAGTGCTACCTTCACCTTCTTTCTACTTCTTCTAGATGTTGGTTCCCGGTCAGCCTGGGATCTAGTATAACTTCCAGAGATTTATATATTTTTCTCTTCATCCTCAAGTTTTAGAAGTTCTTGGTCCTCCGCTTTGGTCTTGTTTCTAATTCACTATGAATGAAATGATTTTGAACTTGATTTGAAAAAAAAAATCATGAAAAAGTATGTAGGTCATGATGAATTTTATTATTTCGGACTTCCATTGTCTGATATTAAATAAAATGATTAGAAATCCCTGAAAAAATTAATAGAAGAGAAGAAACAAAAAAGAATAGCTGAAAATACCAATTATATTAAGCAAAAAAACCTGAAATGAAATAACAGTGTAATAATACAAGTGGAAATAGAAAAATTGAATAAAAATCAAAAATAAAAATGAAAAGTTGAAAGATTCCATGCCAAGTTACTTCACGATATCTTCGGGTCATGACTGTGCGGTGTAAGCGATGATCTCTCCTTTTCCAAAAAATAGACTTGGTGTTTTTTCAAAATCTGGTACAACTTCCTTTCAATTGATACAGTAAGGTCCCGTACGATCTTCATGTATTATCCCTTCTGAAGAACCTTTTCGATCTTCTGTTCGTAGAGAACAGTATTCATCACCATAGCAGCGTTTCCTTTATCTGCAGGTAGGATCTTCATGGTGGTGTCTCTAAGTAGGCCGTAGACAGAGCTCTACGTTCTTCCCTGCTGATGTTAGATGTTGGAACTGGTTCTCGATCCAGCTGTTCTTTAATTTTCCATCTGAATTCTTCTGCCTCGGTCTGGTCAATGAGGGAACTGGTGGATTCCACTGCAGTAATTACCTTTCCGCAACAAGCCTATTGCCGGTCTGCATTTGGGCATTGTTTTCTCACTTACTTTCCCCACTTTCTGTTGTGGGTATTCTCCATGTCTTCACTAGAAGACGATTATGGACACTAACAATCGAAACGTCGTGAAGTAACTTGGCTTCAAATCTTTTAATTTTTTATTTTTGTTTTTGATTTTTGTGCAATTTTTCCATTTTTACTCGTATTTTATTTCACTATTATTTCATTTCAGGTTTTTTTGCTTAATATAATAACGGTTATTTTCAGCTATTGTTTTGTAATTCTTGTTTCTTATTAGTTTTTTCAGGGATTTTGAATAATTTTATATAATATCTAACAACCGAACTGATGAAATTAATAAAAAAATATAATATGATAAATAGGATTTTTATTAGGATATATTTCAACATTCATAGCATTGTTATGGTAGGATAACTACGTCTTAACTGTTTGCTTCTATCTTAAATCTTACAGAGTCCAATGATCTAATTCAGAAACATAAATACGTGAAAAACTCGTCCTATGAATGACGAGGAATAATTGAGGAGCACAAAAATCATGATTCTTTTGGTCTCTCTCATCAAGCGATAACTCTGTGCTCCGGTAGATTACCTATTTTGATGGATACGTACTTTGTTGACAAAATTGATTCATTTCTGAGTTTCCTATTTCCGTACAACCTTCGATTCGGAATACTGGCTTCAGTTCATATCTTTGACTGTATTCATGATGAACCTACAATTAAATTTTCAAAGCATGAATATTCTAGAGCTATGCCTTCATTGAATCAGTTATATCACTATTGTGGTTCACAGGTGTGGTGAGGAAATATTGGACTGCAAATCCCTTCCCTAAAAGCAGAAGCTGCATAGTCATCGATAAGTACGTGACTGGAAGAATTCAATTTTGTGAAAGCAAGAGAAACTTCATTTGTGAAATAGGAGAAAGTTCACGATTTTCTCCATACCCCCAACCAGTAGTGAATGTATACGTTAGCAACAATGTGATGAAAGAGGATGGAACAATGAAGAAAATATCGGAAAACTTTTTTTTGTCAAACAATATTAGTGTTACAGAAGAGGGATATCAAGTTGAATTCAATACTAGTTTCGAAGTTCCTGTTGAAGCTGATGACAATGAAAATACCTCTTCGATACCTTTGTTATTCCCACATGATAATTGATTGATTCAAATGATATTCTTCATCCAAAATATTTCATAGTATTCAGTATACTAATTTTCAGATGTTTTATATGTAAATAAATATTTTTTTTGATACGACTGAAAATGTTTCAGTTCCGCAGGTTATTCGACAAAACTGGACCTCAACTGTTTATGTATTGTTTATGTTTGATTTGATTCATCTTTGAATGAAATAATCAATAGTTTTTGCATTCACTAAGATGCTTTTAAAAACAAGTTCAATAACTGATGGACTGGGTTTTCATTCGAAAAATTTGTATGGAATTATTGTTCATGAACTATAATATCTACTATGACAGCACTGAAAAAAATCCACACATACATTACCACCTCTCCAGAAAATCAGTATTGTCTGAAGAATGTTGAAATAATGTGTTCGTTTCATTATACATACTTCAACAACTTTTTGAGTTTCAATGAAATCCCCAATGTTTTCTGAATATTTCAACACTCAAAACTATTTTTTCATGTTTATGTTTCAATAAAAATATGTCTGCTGATAATCCTCAATATATGTTGAAGAGCTGCATTTTCAACAATATCTCCTATTTTTCGAGCCGGTGAATGATAACGAATACTGTTTTATCTCAAAAGATGCAGCAAATTATGACACCTGAATAGTTTTTTTCTTCAAAATTATTTATTCGTCAGAGAATAAAGTAATACATATCATGAAATTATAAAACAACAACATTAATTGGCGCTGGCAGATAATCAGAACCAGATATTTTAAGTTTTTCAATTAAGTGTCAAGACGTTTCGCCCCTGGGTAAAGGCTTTTTTCAATTGTTTATTTGAAAAAATTTTTTTCGTTTCGATTTGCTGCTAATTCTTTATATTAATCCCATGTTGACTAAGTTATATCTGTAACGTTTCATACATATATTTTCACAATCATCTTTTCAGTTGTCCTGAAGAAGGAAATAAACATTTACGAAAGCTTGACAAAATAGCAAAGAGTTTTCATCCTGTGAAAGGAGTTTTGAAATATGAAATTATGTCAATATTGTTGATTGACAAGTGGAACATTCGATGTAATACAAAATAATACAAAAGAGCTAAAACGATATGCACTTGTATAAAGTTCTTCATTATAATTTTTATATTTCTCAGATTGTGGAAGGTAACAAATACACAAAAAAGGTCGATAATTTTTTTTGGTATTATTAAAGAGATTTTGATGGGTAGATATCAACCGATTAGGAAAATTAACCGGTTATTTGCTCAACTTTGCCAGTTATGTGATTGCCATCACAGTCTATGAATATATTCCGATGGAATTTCTACCCAGACATTTCGATAATTCAGTAACGGAGTTCTAACTATTTCATAATAATATATTTCAAACAAATTTATTACATTTGGATATTGACCTCAAAACATTTCAACAAAGTATTACAAATATTTTTGAACAAAAACGCTAACAATTATATCTACCAATTTCCACAATATTTCAACGCCGTAAAGGAAATACGTGAGATTCCAATATTTTTTTCAGCGGTATAAATAAGCTGAAAACACTTCTTGAGCCAGTTCCAAAAAGAGCTTCGTAATGTTTTTCTCTTTTCTGAAATGTTTAGTTCTGGCTGAATCATACATTATTGTGGTACAGGGTGCAGACCCTCCAGCATCTACAAGTAGTGGTAAGTTGAAATTTTTCTCATTTATATTAATACTATTTGATTTGAAAATGAATATTTCAAGGAGAGATCAGTTTTTGAGGAAAAAACTTTTTGGGTTTCTAATTCACTGAACAATAAATGAGGGAAACATCTGAAAATGGAAAAAAGGAAGAATAAACTATAACTCTTCATGAAGATATGTAAATCAAACAGAGAAAATGCTATGCAACGTAATATATTAACTAGTATTGATATAAATTGTCACACACTGTTTTCGTTTGAAGGTGGGATAATAATAGGAAGTCAAAAAGCCTTTTTCTAAAGAAATATATTAGGCTAAATTTCACGTATTCCAAATGGAAATACCCACTTTCGAAAAAATGTTCCAAATACTACCCGTTATGTTTCCTGTGTTCACTTCAACACCTCAAAAAATTTGAAACAATGAATACTTATTCTCTTCAAATATCAACTACGTGTTGTCAATTGTAACTGTAACATAAGGTTTTGAATGCCTTTGGTAATTATTCCATAGATAAATCGAGACTGAAATTCAAATACCAAGATAAAAGTCAATCTCAACAGAGTAAAAATTTCAAGAACCGCCCATAGAGAAATGAACACAGCTATCAATGTACTCATTTATATGACGAGTTAGGTTAGGTTCGTTCAAAAAGGAGTGGGTCTATTCGATCCTCCACCGCAATTGTGGCTCATATATAATGAATTACTTTGAATAATTTAGAAAACACTTGCTATATGAATAGCATTTTACAAGTGTTGTTCATGACAAAGAATTCCAAGAACGAAGTTCAAATGATGAAGGAGAACGGGAATGTTTCCTACTTATTCACCTGTTCAGACACCTGTTTATGCAGCTGCAGTTTCGTAGGAATGCATCATCTTTCCCTCCAACCGAATTTCTGGAATCTTTGAAGTCCACCAGATACTCGTTAGGACAACAAGAGGATTGTTCCGAATTTTTGGGGTTCTTGTTGAATACTCTTCGTGAGCATAACAATATCAAAATCAATACTCCTTACCGCTCTGGATTGAATGATCCCGTATAGTCCATCTCGTCTTGGGTTTGTAAATATTTTGCTGGAAAAATCCTCACTTGTTTACTTTGTAGTGAATGTTGACTAATATGACTAATAACCAGTCCGTGCAAAGCTTATTGTTGTATCATCTGAAAATGGAATTTTGTAACAGGCGATGATCGACTGTATTGCCAAACATGCGCCAAACTAACTGACTGTTATGAGGTAACAATTATAGGCACCAGTCAATTATAGGCACCAGTCAATCTAGTAATAACACTGATGATCTTCAGAAAAGACTCAACCTCTGACGGAAGCAAGAAACTCGTTGGAAGGTTCGGAATAGATGAATATTCCAATCTAGCAGACTATTATTATAATATTCATGCATTCATTGTTCACTGTGGTTCTGGCGTTCAATTTGGTCATTGTTACGCCTTGGTCAAAGACGAATCGGACTGGTTTGTTTGACGATAGTCGTGTCACGAAGTGTTCTGGCGATGTATTGAAGCTATTGGAGCCTCTGGAGACACTCAGCATTTTGTTTTATGAGAGAGGACATTGGCAGATCAAGATCTTCAGATGATGTGGCTGAAAAAGCAAATGTGCCACTGGAATCAATGAAGTCGCCCCGAGACGCCAGTTAATTTTTATTGTTGTTTTTATTTTTATCGTTGTGATATTAAATAGTTCTAAAATGAAAATCTTGACAGAATATTTTGTTGTCAGACTGTCACATGAACGTTCATGAACCCTCAACCAGGTATTTACAAAAATATAGTTCATTCAGTCGCATTTAATATCCAACCCATGTATAGAAGGTTCTTGAACAAAATAAAATTATAAATCAACCTGCATTTTTTCTCTCTGAGAAAGTACTTAACTACTAGTTAAGAAATAACTCATGAGATTCTCTTCTAGACTTATTATTTCTTTCGAGGATTGTTTTACCATACAAAGATTGGAGAAAGAATCAAAAGTTGATTTGTATGTTCCTGATCAATCCATCACAGAAGTTTTGTCTTCGCTGTTTCGACCGATTTGATTCAGTTCTTACTTGTCATGAATTGTAGTTTGTTTCTGTATTTCGATTATGAAAATCACAAGGAAAAACTGCAAACAGATGTTGGGAGAGCAAATTTGTAGTTTACCCCGATAGGGAACTGCGTCAATTAGATATTATTTCCAAATGTTTTGTTTTTCAAAAACTCGTCGCATTTAATAAATTAAACCTTTTGAAAATATCAAAAATTTGCTTGCTTATTATCCAGTCGTTTGCTAAAAAACTCCAGAATTGGAAAAAATATAATATATTTGGGCATTTTATATGAAGTTATCTATTATAGTTTTATTTTTCCACTCTTTTGAAGATAAAAACCACCGGTTTTTTACAGGAAAATTGACTTTTATTCAATACTTCGTTCCCTTTTTCAGAATAACCCAGTTTCACATAAGATTTGCTGATGCATTGAAAACTTCAGTTGAAAAATCTTAAAATTATTCATTTCATATCAGTAAGTAACGTATCTAGCTTCAATTGTTCATAGAATCAACTTTGCGATAATATACTTTTTCCTCTTTTCTGTTGATTTTTCTTTAAATAAAATGTTGGTATTATGATTCAATACAATAAATTCAGAAGCTAATTCATTCGGGAAAATATTTGACAGAATCAAATTTTAACAATTTGTTTTATGCTTTACTTATAGAATCATTGAAGTACTCCTCTGTAAGAATGGAATTGTGAGCAAAAATAGAACTTTATGTTTTTCTATTATATCAAGATGGTTTGTTTTGAGAATATTCTACACGTGTAGGATTGTGAAGTGAAAAAATTTTGTTACGCGAACTGGCATATGAATGCACAAAAAGTATTTTCTTTCGAATAGCAAAGAACCCCAATTTTAGTGACTTTCATCGATCATAGGAGTGGATCTTCCAATGCGTAGGCATCAAACATGTCTTTTTGATTGCTAGGCGTTGGAAAATAACGTTTGTTTTTTTTTTATTGAAATCTTCCTCTATATAGGCGTCCAATCGGAAAAATACTCAATTAAATCAGCTACAAAACAATATACTGCAACTATATTCTTGTCGAAAATATAACTGAAGGAAGATATTATTGAAACAAAACGACATACGTTAATCCACTGGCTTGTTAATAAGTTTTGCCTTTTGTAATTTTGTATAGATTTTCCAAACAGACTATAAAAACACTTGAAGTAGAAATTATATGCTTCATTCGGCAGAGGAACTGCCCTGGCAGTAAATCTGTCATTTTTCTACATGATTGAACAAATGATCATTCACAGGGAAAAGTTCTCCAAAAAGAAATTACCAAATGTATGATAATTTCGAAAATATGGTAAATGATGAAACTTTAAATATATGACAAGAAAGTTTATAGTATTGGTATCAAGGTAAGTTTTGAGTTCGAAAAAATATATTATCGAACAAACTCAACTGTATTATAATTTTTTTGATATCGATTTTCCAAACACATTGTAAAAACACTTGAATCAGAAATTATATGCTTGTTACAGCAGAGAAACTGCCTCGGCAGTAAATCTGTTATTTTTCTACCTGATTGAACAAATTATCATTCAGAGGAAAACATTGGATCAATCCTACATGACGAATAAAGAAATGGTTGTAATCTGCAATGGATCGACATCTGAGCCAGAGACGGTAAAATTCGGGGTGCCACAGGGCATTGTTCTAGGATATTTACTGTTTCTTCTCTATGTCAATGATCTTCCTCAACATATAAAAGTAGGCTACGTCACAATGTTTGCTGATTTTGAAACGATAAGTATAGCAGGCAACAATGCTGGTAGGGACCTACCTAGACGCCAATCTGAATTGGGATATGTGCTAAGCTAAATATTATGCTATTAAACAGATGAAATCCTGTTTGGATGGATCCTGTTTGGATCCTGGATCCTGTTTGGATGGAACTGGCTCACTCAGCATATATTATGTCATGGCTTGGGGAATATTATGGCTTGGGGAAGAGCAAGGGATTTTTCCAGAGTCTTTATAGCACAGACACGCATCAAAGTCTAATCTTTAATATGGATTTCCGGGATAGCTGCCGCTTTTTCTCCTTTTTTCTGACGATATTCGTCTCGACAGGGGCTGAAAACTCCATCAGACGACTGCAGTAGACTAAGGTGTTATTATTATCAATACTATGCCTGCACGTCCTTTTTCCAGTTCGTATTCACAATAATTGGTGTTACAAGAAGTGCAATTAACTGGGACTTTTTGAATGCTACTTTGATATTATGAGATTGAGCTCTGCTTGGTGGGAAATAAATTTTGGAAACGTTTTCAGTTTTTGGAAAACTAGGGGATCTTTTTGATCATGAAATTTCAAAATGTTACTGACAAAAGTTGTTCGAAATGAGAAATTATTGCCCTATGCAAAATTTCAGAAGGATTCGGTTACTTTCATAGAACAGCCATTCGTGTCTCTATGCAATGACTCACAGAGTCATTGCACAGAGCACAGGAAGATACTTTGAATTGATTCATTGTATGAAGAACAATGCTTCTATTACATTTCGTGAACGTTATGTCTGAGTGAATACAATTCTTTTTGATCGTGGAATGTAGGCTTTCACGGCCGGTTTTCTATGTCAAAAATAAGAAGGATTATCGCACTGGGAGAATTCTGAGAAAACACAACGTGAAATCAATATTCAGAACGAAACATCAGAGGAAGTTGAGGACCCCAAAGAACTGTTAGCATCTCCAGGTGTAGGAATACCATATTCCTTGAAGCTGTGTATCGGTCTACATTGGGACTACGAGAAGAAGCGTAAGTAGCCGACTCTTTGAACACAAGAGAATTGATCGTTTTCGGCATACCGGTGTAGCGGGTGAGTGGCGGGGGATCACTGTCTCTCTCTCATGGGTGTTTGACAGTCCCCCGGTGCAGACCACACGGCACTCACCCAGTAAAGTTATCGGTCAACCACCCAATCCCGCATCTGCGGGCAACAGGCGTTGGCCGATTTCAAGCTAGATGTGTGGGAGAGGTGTCTCGCAAGAGCCCTCATCCAACGCTGGAAAGGTAGATTTCCTAACATGAGTGCCCCTTGGGGTAACGTAAGGGTATGCGGTGCAGACCACACGGCGTACACCCAAAAGTTGTTGATGAACCGCCCCATCCCGCACCTATACGGGTAATGGGCGCGACATCTTCGACATATGATGTGTGGTAGAGGATGCTCGTGAGAGTCCTCGACGGTTACTCATCAAACGTTGGTAAGGGAACTTTCCTAACATGAGTTCTAGGGGGGAGGTGAGTGCCCGCTCGCGGCTGGAGGCTAGTGAGCCTCATCTCCAACTGGCGTTGGCCTCTTAGGAGCAGCGGCTCCGCTAGCGGGAAAGGGATACGGGCTGCGGTAATCCATTCATGGGTGCATTGCAGCCCCATTCTGAGGCACTGGACGGCTTATGCTGTTCCGTGATCCTCGCCTGCTTCTGTACGGATCCAAGCGTTCGAGGTGTCGGGGCTCGCGGTCCTTCCGGGCTCTAGTATCCGAGTGTAGCCTTGGAGGGCACCAAGGCAGACGCTTGAGGTGTCGGAACCCGATTGGACGGGGCTACTAGTATCCGAGCTTAGGACCCCGGCCGGCCACTTCCGGGACCATATTCCCAACTGATTTGGCATGGCTGGCGGGGGCAGGTGTGCCACGCGAGCACTCTCTGGCGAAAGAGGAGCTTAGTTAACTTGTACGAACGTTCGGTCGAACGCTGCCTCTTGGTTAGCCACACTAAGTAGATGTAAGGAAGCAATTCCGGGTTCGGTGAGCGGGAGGAAGCCCTGCGAAATCCTGTTGGTGTGGGGTGAGGGGCGGTACCCGCAAGGATTTCCCGAAAATCCACCCCTCCACACCCGATCGCATCCAACGCCAGGGTGCGTCTGGGGGGCCTAACCGGCCCCCCAGGCCCCCCGGTGCGGTCGTAACTATGACTCTGGCCGTATATAGTCAGACAACCACTTATATGGGTATATCAACTGAGTAGTTGAGTTTGAAACAAGTTTAAAATATTTTTCATCACTCAGTTCAATATGAATCAGAATTGAAACTTCTCATATTTTTCTGTTTAATAATATAGAGTTGTTCGAAAAAACTATTTCAGGCAACATATTTACAAGCTGACCAGTTCTGTAGGGACATACATATGCAGTTGGTTAGTGTTAAATCGAAGGAAGAGAATAATTTTCTGTATCAGTTGATCCAGAAAAATAGTGAGTAGAAATTGTTTATTTGTAATAACTGTATGTGAATTTAGGATCTAATGTTAATTGAAAATCACATTAATAATATTTTTCAGTCATCTTGCTCACATTCATCATTATCAACTCACATATTTTATTTTTTATCAATTGAGTCAAATAGTCACAAAACTATTTGTCGAAATTGATCATGTTGAAAAAGTTAATCGGGCAGATTCACTCATGAAAAGTTCATTGCCAAATATTAAATAATGCCTGAGTATGAAATATCATACACTATTGATATTTTTATTTTTCATTCTCCAACTTTCGAAACAGACAGAGCTACTAGGAATGAGCTTCTCAAATTCCAAAACACACCAATAATTCCACTTATGCAGACTGAGGAAACCCCACCAAAAACCTATACTTGAACTGGATGGTGAGTCTCTAGACTGTAAAGAAAGTACAAGATTCTTGGGTCATATCTTCGATGAAAAATCACCATGGGCTTCACATGTTAACGACCTGACCCATAGAAGTGAAAAAGTACTCAATGAGAGCTCTGGAACATATTCTCTGGGGAAGTAATAAAGAGGTGCTCTTTAAAATATATAAATCTGCTGAAACAGGAATTCCTCCTTCGAAATATAGGAGACAACAACTCTTCTCGAATTACGCTGTCAACATTTTCGCGCAGTCTAATCACCCTAATCACCTAACATTCAATGAAGACACTGATGACGTTCACGAAGATCAACCCATGATAACAAGACCAGCTCAAATAAAGTTCAAAGGAATACTCACTATACAGTTCCAGCGATTTATACGAACAACCTTGAAGAAATTCCCCCTTGGGAATTGGAACAAGTGACAGTGAATGTTCAACTCAGCCATATAGCAAAAGATGTTAATCGAAATGTCTCAAGAGCAGAATTCCACAAACTCCTCTTGACGTACACTGGATTCATAAGAAGGTACTGGATGTGCATTAATTAGCCGAAGTTCTACTCACAGTTGGACACAAACAAGTATTTTTAGAGCTGAAATATACAATACCCTACAAGCAACCTTCCTTTGTCAATTCCATAATGAAATAAAATCCTTATTGGTACGGACCCCTTAAGCTCACTACACGTAATAGAAAGACCATTTGACAAAGATCCACTAGTACAAAACATACATACACTGGATTAATAGAAATGGAAAACACATTAAATTTACTAATTAGTCAGTGGGCTATGATTGAAGACTGGCAGTAAACAAATCTAAATCTATCATGATAGGCCTATCATGATGGGCGTCAGTCTATTCAACCTACGGTGTAGGTATATTCGAGATTGGCTTGAACGTTTAAAGTTCATTTCTTTAGATTTGTTTACTGCCAATCTTCAAGTATATCCCATTGACTAATAAGAAAGTTTTTCTTCCTTATTCAGAGGAATCGGGCACATTTCGGATATGCAGTTGTTTAGTACCTCGTCCATGAGATGCGGTGACATTTTGTTGTACGCTCCAACTCAGGAAGAGAATTGAATTACTCTGAAAGAATTCCGATTTTCAATTATGAAATATCATTGACTTTAGGTCGATGATGACCACTATTTTGCACTGATGAGTGGCTAATGAGCCCGAAACCGATCCGCAAGTGCGCGGATCGGTTTCGGGCTCAAAATTGGGGGTCAACTCCTTCAGTTGTATTGCCAATTGCATATGCAGGAAATTTTCTGTGGAGATTCCTGCACTGACGCCTGTCGGATATAATCGAACGCGCTTCGTGGTATTAGTCAGGGGATTAGTTGTTTTATGATAGGCGTCAGTCCATTCAACGTACTGTGTAGGCATATTCGAGACTGGTTTAAACGTTTAAAGTTCATTTCTCTAAACATTGAATTTTCATGGACTTCTAGTCACCAAGAAATATCGGGTAATGAACTAGCAGATCAGGCAGCAAAACGTGCTACTCCCCTGATATTTGTAATATTTCTATTGGATCAAAAGACGTTGAAAAATGTCAAACAACAAATTATGGGTTTAAAGCAAACTGAATGAGAAAGAACAGATACAGAATTGAAAGAGGTGTAGCCAAACATTACCCTGGAAGCATTCTATTCCACAGACTCGAAGAGAACACGCTCAAGAATAAGTCATACCGACCTCAAAAACATATTCATGCTCTCAGGAGAAAGACAACCAATATGCCAACAATGTAGGCGGAGACTAACAGTGAAACATATCTTGCTAAACTGTGTCCAATATGATGAAGCTAGACAACGATTTGAAATACCAAATTCTCTGAAGGAATGTCTGAAATATCATAATTGAAATCTGGAAAAAAATTATACAATTTTTAAAAGCTATGGGGCTGTACTCAAGAACTGAAACAAGAAAACAAATGATAAATAAACTAATAGTAGAAGGCCAATGACCTCGCAGTCGACGCCTTTAAACGACAAAAAAATCGTCCTCAAAAGAGCAAAAACTGATTTTAAATCCAAGATGATCACCATCATGAATATTGGTATCAAATGACACGCTTTGACAAGTAGAATTCTGTACACTCCACAAAACAATTCCGAATCTGAAATTACATTCGAAACAAAATGATGAATCGTAGAGTTTAGACAGATATTACTTCAGAATTAAATGTAAGTATCTAATCAACAAGGATGATTCTCTTATCAGGATCAGGATCAGGATGAGCAACCCCTTAGGAGTGAGTGGTGTGATGACATACCTACAGTTCGTCGAATGTTAAATAGTACAGAGTACGCATTAGCTAAGTACGGAATTACCTGCAAACTGGAACTCATGAAGCACTACTTCAATCTTTGTGAACAGTCCATCTGAATCACAACTTTGTCGTCAACAACTTCATTTATAATCTGTAGAGCCATCACAACGAAACTTGTCAATACTTTTGTGTTCACCATCGATACTCCCAATACAATGATTCAAATTGCTGTGCAATCAAATTCTTTGAATATCACTGAAGTTCTTTCCCAAAAACAAATCGTCATTTCAACACCTCGACACGTGTTTCGATCACACAAGTGATCATCTTCATGAGGAAGATCAAACTGAAATAATTCTTCGTTTGACACGTTTTTCTAGGATTTGGGCAATGCTAGGTAACATAGAAATAGACTCAAAGTTAACAGGATTATTTGTGTTGCCTCCTTTGTGCAAAGGAATAACAATGGCTGTTTTCAAACATGCCGGTAATACACCCGTTATGAAGCTTGTGTTTATAGCTTTCACCAAAGCGGTGATAGCGGAGTTGGGCAACTTGGTAAATACTTTTATGCTCATATCATCCCAACCAGCTGAGTTCATTTTTAATTTCTTCAAGAATGTTTCTAATTTCCATAACATCTGTAGGCAATGAAAAAATGTCTCTGAAACTGAGTTGTCTTTGAGAAAAGTCAAAGGATATTGGATTTTATCTTTGGATAAATTATGTGCCACAGTGAAGTAATATTTGTTAAAACAATCAGATTTCAGGTCGGTTTTCGTAGGACCAGTATTCTTTTTTCCCCTGAGGTCATTCACGATTGCCCAGCTTTCTTTCTGTTTGTTTGCAGACCTTTTCATTATTTTCATATAATGAATTTGGTTTGCAGTCCTTATAGTTCTTCAGTAAATAGGGAGTTGAAGCCTTCATTGATATGTGGACGATATTCTCATGGGTTTTGACGGCTCGAAGAGACAGATAAACCAGTTCGTGAACTTCCTTAGTACTCTACACGATAAGGTAAAATTCACAGTCGAAATAGAACAAAACAACAGCAATAACTTCCTGGATATCACTATTACAAAACGCAATGATAAATTTCAGTTCAACATCTGTAGAAAAAACACCTTCACGGACTGTACAATACCGATGGATTTTTTCAGTCCATTATCGCACAAATTATCGGCCTTCGGATCTATAATATATAGAGCTTTTATGATAGAGTCATCAGAGGAGACTTTTCATGAAGAAATTAAGATCATAAAGCAAATAGCATATAACAATCATATTCCCGGCAACTTAATTGAAAAACTGCTCTCCAATAACAACAAAAAATTGATCATAAAGGAACTATACCTAAATTAGGAAGAACATAAAGAAGGTAAACAATATGCTAGCATAAGTTATTCAGGGAAGCTCTCAGAAAATATGAAGAACTATTTTTCAAACCTCAACACAAGCACATCATTTTCTAATAAGAATAATTTGGGAAACATGTTATTTAACGCAAAACCCAAAACGGATAAATGGAAACAATCGGGCATACACAGACTAGGTGGGGACTGCCCAGCAGCTTATACAGGTCAGACAGGCAGAAACTTCGACATAAGACACCAAGAACATGTATTGTCAGATAAAAAATCAGCCATATATGGACATTTATCCCTTTTGGGTTTTGCGTTGAAAGCGTTGGAAATAAATAAATTGTACAAGGCCCCAAATTCATAACGCTCAACGACCAACTAGATCTATGCAGCTCGCCCCTTTTGAATTTGGGAATTTTAGGATCCGTCCAATAGTTGGTAATCGTGACATATTGTAATATTGGTAACGTGTTAGGTCAGGTTCCTTAGAGCAGATACCTGTCCACACTAAGACGCAACTTGATCATTTGTGGTAGTTACTTGAAAATGGCCTAGTAAGCCGAAACCGAATAAATAAACACAGTAGAAACTAGACAAAAGTATTTTCTTTATTCTATATTCAACATGAATTTCTACAAAATAAATAAGTCATCAATCGAACGAGGGATGATGTAAATCATTCCACTTTGCATAATTGCAAAGATCAAAAAAATATCAAAAATTTTTGTTGTAGATTCTTCGAAAGCGCTTCTTTGAGCTCGATAATTTTTGACTCCCAATATTATGTTTCCACTGTTATGTATTTGGGAGCAGTATATAGAAATATTTTACACTGATCACGTGGCTTGTTTCCTGCTGTATTTCCACCTCTGTCACATGAATTGAAAACTTTGAATGCTGAATGTTTTGATGACGCCAAAATATTGAAAGTAGTTCCATTTTATATCATTATCAATATTAGATTCATTAAAGATCATAGTCACTGCTGCTGTCATCACTGTCATCGTCACTATCACCTAGTAGATTTATAATTTCAGGTATATCATAAGTTACTAATGGCAACTATTCAAAATATTGGAGCGTTATTTCAGATGCCGATGAATATTGGACATCAGGTACTCGACTGGTTGATGGAAACAATTTCATTTGGATGTCCGATGCAACAGTTGTCGATTATACAAATTGGCTGGCAAATCAACCAGACAACGTCAACGAAAAATGCTTACAGTTTTGGTTGGTGAGAAATAAAGATTTGTTTTGGAATGACAGAGATTGCAATACCCAATTTTTCTTTGTCTGTGAGAGGGAAAACAATCAGAAAGATCCAGAGAATGATAATAAAAGTGAGTATGTCAATGAAATGCTGTAGTTTGCGAGATAAAATTCAAAAGTTGAAGTATTACAAGACAGAATTACAAAAAACTGAAAATCTGATAATGAAAGTAGACTGTGGAATATATTTTTCCAGAAGTATGATGAAGTATGATGAAATGTTCAAATCTCTGTTCACGTTGTACATCAATTTCATAATTGACAAAGTTTCTCTCATCTTTTCGAGTCGTTCATCAAAACAGCCAACAGGTGGTGAAGTCATATTCTGCTCAACAAATAACAAATTTTTCTTTATGTGCTCGAAATCACTGTCCTTCTCAATACCATTACTCTTTGTTTTCACTTAGATTGGCCAGCACTCTTCGAAAATCCAAACGTCTCTCCAAATATCAACTTACTGAACTATAAGGGAAAAAGCTATTATTTCAACAACGAGTTTGTTGTAAGTATGTCTTATACTATTACTTGTTGTGATGAAAACAGTAATTTGAGTGAACTCAGCTATTGATTCGAGAAACTTCTGGTGGAAAATGATATGCAGTTAATCAACTTCGTGATATCTGATATGAATCAATATGAAATGTTCACTCACAGTAAACAGAAATTGAAAGGAATTTAGTGACTGTGAATGATACTTTTTGTATCCAGACTTTTAGACAGACGATATTAAATAAAAGTTATGGAGTAACGGGGATTGCCTAGTTTAGGTCCCGGCGCAAATAAATAACAATATTTGATAACGCAATTAACCTAACCTAACCCCTAATCTAACTTATGATTACTAGTACTGATATTGAATTATTATCATATTGAGGATAATTTAAACAGTTGCTCAACCTAACCTATCATGAAAAATCATAGAAAGTAATCTTTAAATACTAGAAGTACTTGAGATACCGCATTCACACAATACATAAATTGAATTTTTTTTCAGGCAACGTTCCTGGAAGCCAACCAGTTTTGTCAAATGTTGGATATGGAGTTGGTATCTATACTATCCGAAGATGAAAATAATAGAATCTACAAATACATAAGAGATACCCGTAAGTATAGAGAAAAACATTTGTGGAAATTCAGGGTGTCGGAAATATCAAATCGAAATAACTTCCTTTTATTTTCATTGCATAAAAGATCCGTGATCATAATACTCAACATTCATTAAATCATCCTGAATAGTAACTAGACCACTTGGTAGAATATTACATATATCATTTAGAATGTATGTATGTTAGTATGTTGCATAATGAATTGGTATCCACCTCAAACATGCGGCTCAATAATTCCTTCAATTTCGTTTAGAAATATGAACAATTTCATAATTCTCTGATAAAGAAATTGTTTTTAAACAACGATTGTATTTGCAGATTATACAGAAAGTTGAAAAAAGCTGGCCTTATCAAATAGGTGGGTGTACTAACAGGCTTGTTTTGAAAGTATATAGATACAATTATTGTAACAAACGAAGAAGGAAGAACATTGAATACAGGCCGTTATGTCTAACCTAAATTGCACTATCACTCTTCACAAATCTCTAATTCTCATCTATTTTAATTTACAGTTGTTGGTACATCTTTCTGGTCATCTGGAACGAAGTTAATAGATGACACAAACTGGTATTGGCTTCCGACTGGAAAAAAAGTGGAATTCAACAACTGGCTTCCTGGCGTTCCAGATAACAAAGCCGAAAAGTGCATACAGCTGATACAACAGAGAGATAAAGGTCTCATGTGGAATGATTTGGGTTGCCACGGCCAGCTTAATTTCATTTGTCAGTCTCCAACTGAAAAGTATATCCGTGGAGGAAATTGTCCAACATCTGGTGAGATTTTTATTTGGATTCTGAGTGAATATCGTGTGTATAAAAGCCTAATTCTACAAGTAGATCAAAATACTGCAAGAGTAACTCAAGATTTTCAATTTCTCTTACGTTTTATATCCTAATAATGATAAGTCATAAACTGATGGTAAAAAGACCGACAACCAATATTTGGTAACAACCATAATTTGCTTCATAGGAGTCCGATTGTATTGCTTTTGGGTATAACAGTTGAAAGGATTTTCAATGTCGATAACTTTGTGGATTATCCTAGTCCGAAAGAGTTTTTTTTATGACAATGGTTTTTGTGTTTTCGAATCTTATTATGTGGCTTGTTTCAAGATATCGTGGAGAGGGATGAGGTTGAATTTGATTCATGGACAGAAATCTGATGATAATAGACTCTGTTGTGGACTCTTCTGTTAGTCTAACCGAAATAAGCTCTGGAGGAGGTGGAGCATGATATTTCGTTCATACCCCACGGACCTTATTGGGTATAGTGTCGTAGAAATGCAAAAATTTGATTGTTGTGAATAAATACTGTCTTCATATTGAGTCTCTTCAGAATTCGACTTTTTTCGTGAGTAACTCCATGAATGAATGAAAGAAAAGTTGTTGTTCGGTCGGTTTGCTGATCGAGCAGCTCGGGATGAGGAATATAGGTTTGTAGAAGTTGGATGGATCTTCAGATTTGAAAGTTGGCATATTAGTTTTGATGGTACATGGATCCCAATTCGTCTGGATTTTTTTATCTATTGATATTGTCAGTGAATCTACTATATCTTTATATGACTCACGATGAAATTCAAATTTTTTCGAAAACAAATCTATCAGATTGATTATTCTCGCTTGAGAGTAGGCAGAATGAGACCTTGCGGAGACCAGTGGAAGAACCTGTGAGCAATGCAGATTTAAACCTCAGTGTAGCTATTCTTTCTAGTTTTAACAATGAAAAATGTTGAGTGAAATGCTTACTTTGCAATATTTGGAGGGAATCACTTTGAACAATGAAAATATGGTGTTTTTCAAAATACGAGTGTTAGTAACAAAAAAGCTCTTTCAATTATTATTTTCCGTAACTTTTGACACACTTGGGTGTATCCACCTTTTACAATCTAAAAAATATTAGAATGTTGAAGCAGAAATTGTGCAAACTGATCAGTGTGACGCTCATTAAAACAACTTTGGTCATTTGAATTAAATCACATTGATTCGATTTTAGATTAGGATGAGAATATTCAATTTTTCATCGGAAACTTCAATTAGGTCCAAATTCGAGAGGGGTTTGAATATAATTTCGATTTTGTCTAACTGATTCAAAATGTCGTTACTGGATTTTTTTCAATTTATCTTTCTCTGATTCTTGAATTTTTTTAAACCTTTCAACCCTTTGAATATAATATTGAAGTGATACGTAATATGAGGAAAAAATGAAATGATTGAAGACTGGTATCAAGAAATGATATTGCGAAAAACCTGTCGATATGCATTTTGCAGAAGACTGTCCCACCGCTCAACCTAGCACTGTACCTCCAACTCCGTCTCCAACGCCGTCTCCAACTCCGTCTCCAAAGCCTCAAGACATCTATCATCTCAGTAAAGACAGGGTCTGTTTGTATTCCATGATCTCTAGAAACTTTGATTATTGTAACGTCTTCTTTCACAGCTCACATACTCGCAAGCAACAGAAGCCTGCCGAAATCAGTCCATGAAGCTTGTCAGTATTCAAACCAAGGAGAAAAATGACGCTATAAACAGTGTGTTGCAGAAGAGTGGTAAGTTGAGTATTTCATTCTATATATGAAGGTTTACATATTCAACTGGATAAACGAGAAACATCTATGTGGTATCCTGCATGAATATCGGTTGAATATGGTAAAATCTCCAGCCTGGTATTAGCCAGGAAGTAGTTGTTTTACGGCAGGAACCCACCAGAAGTTTTGGTTTAGATACTTCTTGGGAGATAAATATTCTGAGATTTCATTTCGAAATATATATTACCATGTGTTTACATATTCTGATGGATATCTACCCATTCGATAGGAGTTTTTTAATAGAATAGTAGAAACTTGAAAATATCAAAGTCTCAATTTTTCTATGAAGTAGGTACGTGGATGGGTAGTTACAAGGTGAGTGCAACCTGTCACGGGATTAACTGTGACTCAAACTGAACGAACGCCCTCTCAACTCCAGCTTCTCACGAAGCTGATTACTTCTTCTCTGTTTTTTCAAGGGCGAAACACGAGCACTACAGGAAAATCCTTAAGGCGCTCTCAGAGCGGTGCCTGTGCAAAAGTAGCGATTTATATTGGAGTTGAATCGCTGGAGATTAAATCCATTTGGGAAAACGTTCTCAGAAAGCCTATTCCACATAAACGCAGTTCTGCAGATGAAAGAGTCCCTAAACAGTAAAGTTCTAGCTGTACTGGGAAACTCAATACGATGAGCAGCCACAGTCCGTCGCGTATTTCTGATATGTACCACTTTTGGTGGAATCAAATGTGCCAAGTCATTTGAACACCTTCAGTAAAAGTATCTATACAGGGTGTAACTGAATAAGTATAAAATATTTTAGGAGGTGATTCCTCATCGAAAAAGAGATAGGATATTTCATATAAAGAAACTTCATTGGAGCATCCCTTGTAAATATACAGCCCCTTAAAGGGGGTACATAAAATTTGTATAAAAATTTTTTTCACAAGCACTGAAAATGTTGACAATATTGAAATTGACCTGACGTTCTGTACTACTAGAAAGACACTTAGCCAATAATTTATTTGGTTTGCCCCATGGTCGTAAGGGGTGGAAAACGCAATCCCTAAAATTTATTTCCAGTGTAACTTTTTGTCCTATCATTTGTTGACCATTTAAAAATTCATTTCCGATAGCCTGTTTTATTCTGAAGAAAAAATGTGTCTAGGGTTTTTTGCCCAAAATAAACCAGTTCGCAGCAAAAAATTATTTTACGAACAACTCCAGAGATACATCGTCATAAATGCGAACTGGATTTATTGTTATTTTGTAGTTATCACCTGCATTAAACGATTGAAGGGTAATAAACAAATCTAATTTATTAATAACAAAACACACAACATGTAGAAATCATAGTAAATGTTCAATATGTCTGTCTACCTTTAGATATTTCACATGCGTCTAGACGCCGGTGCATTGAGCCACATATTTGCTCAAATATTCCTGGAGTCTCTCTGATTATCCTGCACGCATAGATGATGCGGTTTCTTAAGTCCTCTACATCGCAAACAGGAGTACGAGTACAAATGCTGCAAATGACCCCAAATAGAGAAATCGAGAGGATTGAGATCGGGGGATCGAGCGGGCCAGTTCTGTGGTCCTCCTCGATCTATCCACTGATTTGCATATGTGTCAGTTGAATGCTGACGTGCTACTTGACTAAAATGGGCGGGAGCCCCATCATGCATAAAAACATATCCCTTCTGACGCTCAAAGGAACTTCCTCCAGCAGTACTGGATAAGCTTCTCTCAAAAATTGAACGTATGCCTCACCATATAATCGAGGAGGTAGAAAATGAAGCCCAATTGAATTGTCACCAATAACTCGGAGCCACACGTTAGGAGAAAAATATTCTTGATGGTTAGTTTTGACAATAGCTTCAGGATTTTCATCAGCCCATATCTGGTAATTACGGAACTTAATAATTTCGTCCCGAGAAAAACTACATTCATCTGTGAATTCTATCGTCTTCAGAAAGTCACAATTTCTTCTAATCATTTCCAGCATCCAATTGCAAAATTCAAGACGGTTCGGAAAGTCTCGCGGTAACAGTGCCTGTACTCGTTGCAGATTGTAAGGGTATAAGAGTTGCTTCTTTAAAATTCGAAATGCAGTCATATGATCAACATTTAGCTGGAGAGCAATCTTTTTAGTACTGGTAGTAGGTTGTTCTTCAATGAAATCAAGTGCTGCTTCCTCAACGGCGGCCACAGTCCTGCGTTCTTTTGTCTAATGAACCATATTCTCGTAATCGTTGATGAAGTCGATTAAATATTATATGTGAAGAATACATTTCCTCCGTTGAGGATATCTTCTAGAAGTTTCTAACCCATTCTCCTGCGACAGACCGTAAACGTAATGCATATCAGCTATTTCCTCATTTGTGTATGCCATTTTAATAACAAGTGAGTTATTAAAGTAACAAATTAAGAACAGAACAACAACACACAATTAGTATCATTTCAATTTCGAAATTCGTTAATAACGACCTACTAGATAGATTAGTTTCGTATTGACGCATTTATGACTACGCAGTAGTTGTTCGTAAAATAATTTTTTGCTGCGAACTGGTTCATTTTGGGTAAAAAACCCACGGGACATTTTTTGTTTAGAATAAAACAGTCTATTGGAAATAAATTTTAAATGGTAAACAAATGATAAGACAAGACCCCTCACAACCATGGGGTTAACCAAATAAATTTCTGGCTGAGTGCCTTTTTGGTAGTACCAAACGTCAGGTTGATTTCAATATTGTAACTCTTTCAGTGCTTGTAAAAAAATTGTTATACAAATTTTATGTATCCCCTTCAAGGGGATGTATCTTAACAAGGGATGCTCCAATGAAATTTCTTCATGTGAAAGATCCTATCTTTTTTCGATGAGGAATCACCTACTTGAATGTTTTACATTTATTTAGTTACACACTGTATAAGAAAGACAAATCTCCAACCTATCTTCGATGTTCCAGGCTATCAAGGATGCACATGATGTTCGCCTCTCCAATCAGACGGATGGCTCTTTTCTGGACGGAATCCAGCAACTTCAGGCTATGTTTGAGGGCAGAGCTCCATACTTGAGAACAATAATCCAAAGAAGGTCTCATCTGAGCTTTACAAAGCATCTACAGTTGCTGAGGTGTGTACAGTTTTCTGGTTCAAAACGGTGTACCAAGATTAGATTTTGATAAGCAGCTTCTGCAATCCCAGCGACACGATTGTCCCAAGAGATATTGGTGGCCATTTTAACCCTAAACAAACTTACCGAAGCAGAAAGCGAAATTGCCTGGCCTGACATTATTATCGTCGGTTCGGGGGCATTTATCTTCTTGGAGAAAACCGATGCCCAGGTATTTGTGGAATTGAATTGAACCTGATATGCCTCCGTAGCCGATATCCTGGAATCCAAATAGAATGAAGAGATGAGTGTGATGTCCTCAGTAAAGCAATATATCGAATTCTTGATTTTTTCCAATCAGTCGTTGATATACAATGAAAAGAGAGTTGGAGACAATATGGATCCCTGGGGAACACCAGCGTTGATGGTGAAAGTATTCAAGAGATATCCATCGATGGCCTCTTGCAGGGAACGTTTTTTTCAGAAGTGAATGTTTGAAATAGCACCATGTACAAGCCTGGATATACTTATATTTTAGTACCAATTATACAAAATAAATATCAGATTTACACACATTCCGATGTCATGACTTCGTCACGAAAAGACGCATAAATTATTTGAAGGTTATGATTTGTACAGAAATAATTGTTAACGTGATATCAATAGTTCAATCATAACAGTGAGCATAAATTGGTATTCCATGAAAAACTACAGGTAGAGGGGGAAAATATTTTTCTTCAAAGTTTCGTTCGAATTGTTCCAAATAATATGGGATTGTAGAGGCTATTTTTCAGCTTATCCTACTATTGCTATCTCAGAAATGGTAAGGACAAGTGTTTTCTATTTTGTGGAACTGAAATTATCTCTTATGAGATCTTTCGAGTGATTTTGTTATAAAAATTCGCTAAAAATTACAATTGTCGGATTTTGTTTTCAGCTCTACCATCGCCACCTCAGATGATACGGAAAAGGCTAAGGAACTTTCAAAACTATTTCATATTTGTTCAATTCTGATATAAACCAATTCGCAAAGCAACGATTCGTTAAATAGCTTAGTTTTTTCCTCCTCCAGACCTCCAGTTTGTTTCACAGATCTCAGTAGCCAGTGTAATGGAAAACTCATCTATATATTGGAATACATGTATTTGTCAACGTTCAACCAAATAACAAACAGAATAGGGAGTAACATCTACGTTGTTCTCGATATCTCATTGAATGTTCAAAGTGCCATCCATGTTTCCTCAAACACATATCCGCTCTTGCAATAGTATCTTTATGACAAGTCTCAAGCATTTTTAAAGTTATTGTAACGCAAACCCTCCTTATTGAATTCTTTCAATCGTTCAATATCGTCGGTCGGTAGCCAAGCGGTTCGGTGTGGGTGATTTATTCACTCACTCGAATTGACTGCCGTGTTGGTCGGTGGTTCAAGCCCTAGTCTGAACGATCGATCTTCACTTGCTATCGTCCAACCCGTGTTAGGAATCACATGTTAATCCTCAGCTCGCACAAGTTTCGACTTCTGAGGGTTGTCGTCCGTAGGGGTGCGACAGCTGGTTAACGAAAAAACAGATAGTAAACAGAAAATTCTAGCCGAATACCTTGTCTTCAATAGATAACTTCAAGAAATACATGTATTGTAATACATGGCTGAATTTTTTATTGAAATGGTGGACTGGCTACAACGATCGATGAAAAAACCACAGGTGTTATATGATATTTTTGTTTTTTTTTTGAAAATCAGTTATAAAAACGAATCACATGTTAATTTTCTCAACAGGAGCGAACGAATACTACTGGACATCTGGAAATCGAATAGCTGACGAGAAAACTTGGATATGGCCACCAAGTGAGAAAATAACCTACTTCAACTGGGACCAAGGAGAACCCAACAACTTAAGAACCCACGAGAATTGTCTGGAAGTATTCAAATCCGGCACTGACACTAAATGGAACGACGACCCGTGCGATCAGAAAAACTTATATATTTGCGAAACTCCTGCTCAGGTTCCCACTACAGGAAGTTGCAGCCAGTGTTGCCCATCATCAGTTATCAATGTTTACGTCAACAACAATTTGATATCGACCAATGGGACAGACACGAAGAGGATTTCTACAACATCTAGTAACAAACCCGGCCAGTCTTATGACGTTGAAGTTAACAACAACGTGAACGATGGCGGGCAAAGTGGAAGTATAACAAAATCGCCTCCCAGTAATCGAATACATCATCATATCAGCGAGAAGAAACATCCTGCGAAACATCCTAAGTCTAATTGAATTATTGGAAATCATAACTCGATTCAACTAATATAACAACTAATATAATATGTAATATGTATATTATTTGATTTAAATTTTTCTCCTAATGTCAATTGAAAGAAAAAATATACAGACATATACTTATGAAAACACTCTTTAGGTACGTTTTTGGTGACTCAATATTATCTTATCAACTGATTGCACTGTGTGCAGTTCTATTTCTGTATCGACCACATAGAAGACATTTTTGTTGGAGATATTTTCATCTTTTTGAAGCTGTCCCAAGATTTGTTTCATAGAATGGTTACCTGCAGTATATAGGAACAACTTGAAGTTTTCAAATCACTTGACAAAGCCACTGTGCTAGCGAAACTTGTAATATATTTTTCAAATTAAGTTTATGGAGATGAAATCTGGAGGTGTAGTTTTTGAAATTACTATAGATCTTCATCAAGTAGTAATGGCCGAATCAATCAGAAAAAAAACATCATGAAGATGATGATCGTGTTAACATAATTTTATGAATCATGTCTATGCTTATTTCATCACGAACGGAATTGCTTTGAACTATTTTGGTCTATTCACAGAAGTCGCAACTCTCACAAGCAACCTGTGATGAAAATTACATATGTAACTCAAGAAATTGTTGGCAGAGACCGAGTTCTATCTAATTCAGGAACCCTTTGTCTCACTAGTCCATAAGACATCTCACCTCTTCAGGTAATATTTCAAGTTTCTAACTTTCATATATCTCTCTCTCGAAACGAATCATTTACCTTTGATATTCAAAACTTCTTTTCGTTGGTGGTTGATATAAATGAATGTTTGCACACTCCTCTCCAGAAAGGAAAGCTTTCAAACCTCATGGCACATATCGGAAGTACCAGAAATGATGTAGTTATTTCTTTTCGTTCTGAAACCAATAATACTAATTTTCAACGATTTTGTTGCGGTACTTCGTTTTTGAAAATATATGAGATGACATAGAATGCCACACCTAAAGTCTCTAGCAGCTTATTTCAACGTTTTTCCGCAATTCGTAACCTCTGTCTCCCTTTTTCGGGAGAGAGAGAGGAAGCGAATGTCTATCTGTATCTTTCTCTATGTATTTTCAAGCTGGATTATTTTGAAAACGGGAATAGAGTTTCAAACGGAAGTCCATTTTTCTGAAGGAAATCGATGTCTTTCATCTTCCACGAAGTGGAGAATTTCCACAGAGAAAACTAAAATATATTATTTTTTTCCGATTCTCTCTTACGAGAGAAAGAGAGAGTTATATAGATACAGACAAAAATATAGTGTTGTTTCCATATTGATATTCTACGTGAGTTTTTGATAATGTTACAGGAATTTTCGATGGGGAGTACCAACTGATGAGGGAAATTAACCAATTCTTCACGCTACTTTGTCATTTATGTGATTGCCATTACAGTCTATGAATATATTTCGATGGAATTTCTACGCAAAAATTCAATATAGGAATGTCAACATGAACTATTTCATAATTATATATTCCAAACAAATTTATTACATTCGGATAGTGACCTCAAAACATGTCAACAAACTATTACAAATATTCTTGAACAAAAACGCTAACAATTATATCAGCAAAATTTTACAATAATTTAACGCCGCAAAGGAAATATGTGAGATTCCAACATTTTTTTTTTCGACGGTATAAATGAGCTGAAAACAGTTCTTGAGCCAGTTCCAGAAACAGCTTCGTAATGTTTTTCTCTTTTCTGAAATGTTTGGTTCTGATTGAATCAAACCTTATTATGGTACAGGGTGCAGACCCTCCAGCATCTACAAGTAGTGGTACGTCACAATTTTTCTCATTCAACGTTTGTTTGAAGGTGGTTGACAATGTTTCGTGGTGTATTTCATCAGTTTAGACTTCCATTGTCTAATATAGTATAAATTGATTTCAAATCTCTGAAAAAAATTAAAGAATAACCGAAAATAACAATTTTATTAAAACAAAAAACTGAAATTTCAAGAAAATAACATACAAGCTACAACTAGAAAATAGAAAATTTAAATATTAATAAAAGCTGAAAATCAAAAAATATTAATAACAAAAATAAAAAATATCGAAGAACAGGATCAATTGATCAGACCAATTGAATCGCCACTTTCACCGATTATAGCTAATATATACAGAGCTATTCAAATTCGTTTCTGTACATGGGGATCTCGTAAACGATAAGAGATAGAGTGTCGGTTGAATTGTGGCAAAGTTGTGTATTTTAGGGACCTATTCAATGATGTGAAGAAATCAAATATAGCTCTTTTGTTTCTGGAGATATACAGGAAAAACCGAAAAATCCCAAATTAGGTTTTTGCATATATCTTCTTTATTCGGTGACATATTGCAAATCTGTCCACATTTTGCTATTGGAACTTGATGTGGGCTCTCAGAATATATCAACGAATCTTTTATACAGGGTGTCACCTGACTTGGGACACCCTCATCTTTGAATTCATGAATACGGACCTGTAACATCTAAAAATAGAGAAAATAATGGAAATCAGGAAAAGAAAAACTAACATAGAAAGCTAACATAGAAAATGCTATGCAACATAATATACGGAAGGGTATTAATATAAATTGTCAAATACACTATCATCCTTAATGTTTATTCGAAGATGAAAAAATAGGAGGCTCAAAAGCCTTTAATATAAAAAAAAACATACGAGGCTGAATTTAAGGTATTCGAAATGGAAACAATAATGAATACCTACTTCCGAAAATGTTCAACCTGATTCACCAAATACTCATTTTATTTTTTATGTTCTCTTCATCACCTCTAAATATATGAAACAATGAATATTTTCTCCAAATCTCAACCACGTGTGATGAATTATGAATTGTAACTAGAGCATTAGGTTTCTTGGAAATCTCTCAACTTCTGAGAGTTTTCGTTGGTATGGGGGCGACAGCTGATTAACGGAAAAACAGATTTTGAACATATTCAAACAGATCTTCTAGTCAACGCATCAGTTGTAGAAGTCATTTTATAGATGGGTAGAGACAGAAATTCAAATACCAATACCATTCATATAATTAGTAACTTGAATACTCGGTGAAATATTTTGTTGTGAGAGTGTCATATAAACGTTCATGAAACCTTGTTCAGTAATTTACAAAAATATAGCTTATTCAGTCGCGTTTAAAATATAACCCAAGTATAGAGGTTGCGTTATCATACCAGTGACTCGAATTATGATTCAGTCTTAATCTTTGTCTTCCGAAAAAGTACTTCATAGCAAAGGAAGAACTCATGACATTCTCATTCAAGAAATCAATTATAAACCCTTCAATTCTTTCGAGAATTTTTCTCCTACATAAAGCTTGGAAACAGAATCATAAGTTAATTTATATGTTCCTGATCCATTGAACACAAGAGTTTTGTCTTCACTTTTTTGACAGATTTGCTGTAGTTTTCACTTGTCTGGATATCGATTATGGAAATTACAATGGAAAACTGCAAACAGTTGTTGAGAGAGCGAATTTTTAGTTCACCTCTATGAGGAACTGGGTCAATTCGAAATGTTAAAAAAATTATGTTTTGTTCTTCAGAAACTAGTCGCATTCAATAAATTGGAAAAAAAGTAAGAATTTGATTGTTTTTTATCCAATCTTCTGCCCAAAAACTTCAGAATTGGAAAAAATATGATATATCTGAGTTTTTTCTGTAACAAGTTCTCCATTATAGTTTTTATTTTTGCACTGTGTGGAAGATGGACATCACCGGTTTTTTTTTCAAGAAAATTGACTTTTATTCAATACTTCATTTATTTTTTCAAAATAACCCAGTTTCACATAAGATTTGCTGATGTATCGAAAAATTCAGCTGAAAATATTGTAACAATTTAAAGAATTCACTGTCTTAAACAAATTCATTTCCATCAATATTTTACACAAAAACTAATTTATTTACAACACTCAGTAGCTGACGCTTGATTTATTTTCACTTTTTGAATTTTTTGTTCAACCGATCGATTCACTTTCTGAACTCAACTGCCCTCTCTGGACGAGAAGCCGGCCATTTTTATCGGTAAAGATTGTTCTAGAATTCTACAGTGGTTTCAGTACTCAAATAGAGTTAGTTCAATCAGGGGTTGCCGACTGCATTCTTTTTGCGGTGACGTCTTGTGTTTGTTTGCTGACCAACATATCGGCAAGGGACGGCTTCAGGTTCGTTACATTTCCCTTTCTTGAAGACGTTTCGCCCATAAATGTCATTCTTGGCGTGTGCCGATACCTGCAGGACTCCCCATATCTGCACAGTGAAGTTCGATAGATGTAACACTACACAAATTTAATTCATTTGGGAAAATATTTGATAGGTTCACATTTCAACAATTTGTTTTAGTAAGGGCTACAATTTTTGTTCATCAAAAAGTAACATTGAGAACTGTATTGCAAATGATTTTCCAATTGTGAGCAAATTTATAACTTTATGTTTTACTACTGTATCGAGATAAATTCTACATGCGTAGTATTGTGAAGTGAAAAATTTTTTGAGGTATGTGAACTGTCATGTGAATTCCCGAAAAGTATTTTTTTCCGAATAACATTGAACGTCAATTTCAATGACGTTCATCGATCATAGGAGTGAAATTTCCAATGCCTAGGCATTAAAGGTGAATTTTCATTAGCCAGGCGTTAGATCGGAGAAATACTTAATAAAATTACCTACGAAACAAAGTCGCTGCAAGTATTTTTTGTCGAAAATATAACTGTAGGCAGATATTAAAAAAAGCCACAAAATTCTAAATTTCAATATACTTTTCAACGCTAAGTCAGGTTGGGTCTAAAGTGAGTGGGTGTATTCGACCCTCCACCGCAACCCGCAAGGGTTAATTGTGGCTCACACTCGGCCAAACAAAGTCAGCTTCCCAACGAAGCCGATTAGTTTGTATGGTGAGTGGTCTTTCAGGTTAGATGGTAAGAGTACGGCTCTGCCGAACTCTAAGAACCTGATTCGGTCCCCAGCGGGACAGGCACAAAGTATATGCTCTGCTGTTTCATCATTTTCCAAACAGTGGTGACACACACTGTCTTCCGACAGTCCAAATCTTTGCATATGATGATTCAAATGAAGACCTGTAAGACCTGTAAGAAGGCCTGTTAGACATCGTAGTTCATCCCTATTGTAGTCCAACATCTGTTTGATATCAAACTTCGAAGGGTGATTCCAACGCTAACATCATCAATTGATTCAAAATACAGAAAATAAGCTACTCCACTGGCTTGTTGATACGTTTTGCCCTTTTCAATTTTGTTATAAATTCTTTTTCAATTCGATTTTCCAAACACACGTTCAGGGCCGTAGCGGAAAGAAAAATCAGGGGTGAAGGGGATTAATTCAAATTTTCCCAACCCCACCAGCCAAATTTCCCAACTTTCGAAAATGTGGATGCCGAGGGATTAGTTACTATAATATATTAATTTTCTTACTTAGCTATCCAAAGATTGACTGAATGCTTATGCCCGTTAGGGTATGCACAAACAAAAATAAATTCTGGTAATTATAAAAATAATAATGGGAATTATACTACTTTGGAAAAGGTCCTTGGTCTTCCACCATATCCACAATGTATAGGAATATTCAATACAAATGAAAAGAAACAGCACTTAAATGATATTGTGCTTATTGTTTTCTACTAGTATTTTTTCTAACTTCACGCCCCAAAATTTCCCAACTTTTCCAAGTCAGAAAAACAGCGAAAAGTTGGGAATTTTGTAAAATTGTCACTTCAAAATTTGTGGACTGTTCAGGACTGTTTTTTACTTGGGAGAAATTAAACTTTTTTGAAGATTTCAAAAAACTCTGAATTCTCTTCAAGTTATGCATCCCAACCTTCTCCTGGTTCTTTCCCTTTTTTCATTACCTCTCCGTTTCCTTTCTCTCATTTCTAATTTTTTAATTTTTATTAATTTTTTCACTTCACGGCCCAAAATTTCCCAACTTTTTCCCAAGTTGAAAAAGCAGAGGGGGAGGCTCCCCCCCATCTCCCTCCATGGCGACAGCCCTGCACAGTGTACAAACACTAGAAGTAGAAATTATATGCTTTACTGCAGAGGAACTGCCGCAGCAGTAAATCTGTCATTTTTCTACTTGGTTGAACAAATTATTATTTAAAGAAGAAAATTAGGAATTATCAAATGTAAAACAATTTCGACAAAATGTTGAATGATAAGAATTCAAATATATGGCATATGGTTTGTATTGATTAATATATATCAGTTGCGATTTAACTTTTTCAGGTTGGGATGACGCGTTCACCAAAGATGGTTCAATTTTACCCTTGCATAAGTTTGGAAGTAAAAGTTACTACCTAGGAAATATTTTCAAGGTAAGTTTTGAGTTTGAGAAAATATTCCCAAACAAACTCAACTGCATGTCTGTTCTTCCTTTTTCCAGTTCGTATTCACAGTAATTGGTGTTACAAGAAGTGCAATGAACTTTTTGAATGCTACTTTGATATTATCGGATTGAGCTCTGCTTGGTGAGGAATGCATTTTGAGAATGTTTTGAGTTTTTCAAGAACGAGGTGATCTTTCTGAGCATGAAATGTCAAAATGTTACTGACGAAGGTTGTTCGAAATGAGAAATTATGGCCCTACGCAAAATTTTAGAAGGAATAGGTCACTTTCATGAAACGGCCATTCATGACGTTGAACATATTAAATATTAAATATTCACTCACATAGATAGGTACTGCAGATAGCACAGAAAGATACTTTGAATGAATTTATTGCATGGAGAGCAATGCTACTATTACGTTCCGTGAATGTTATGTGTGAGTGGATACAATTCTTTTTGATCATGGAGTGTAGAATTTAACAGCTTTTTTTCTTTCCTATGTCAAAAATATGACGGATTATCGCACCGAGAAAATTCTGAAAAAACACAACGTGAAATCCATATTCAGACCGAAACACCAGCGTGTAGGACCCTCCAGGTGTAAATATACCAGATTCCTTCTGGCTGTGTATCGATCTACATTGGGACTACGAGAAGAAGCGTTAGTACCCGACTCTTTGAACACAAGAGAATTGGTCGCTTTTGGCATACCGGCGGCGCGGCGTGAATTTCGGTTGGGTAAGGTTAGGTCCAGAGTGAGTGTGTCTATTCGACCCTCCACCGTAACCCGCAAAGTTTCATTGTGGCTCACACCTATTCACACTCAACCTAATGGACCCAGCTTATTGAAGAAGCCGATTAGTTTGTATGGTGAGTGGTCTTTCAGGTTAGATGGTGAGAGTACGGCTCTGCCGAACTCTAAAAACCTGTTTCGGTCCCAAGCGGGGCAGGCACTGATTATGTTGCTCTGCTGCTTCATCATTTTCAAAACAGAGGTGACACACCGTGTCTATCGACAGTCCGAGTATTTGCACATGATGATACAAATGACAGTGACCTGTGAGAAGGCCTGTTATACATCGTAGTTAATTCCTACTGCAATCCAACAACTGTTTGGTATCAAGCTTCGAAGGGTGATTAAACGCCTTAGAGTGAGCCAATCCTGGAAGATCCTGCCAGAAGTCCATAAATCCTTCTTGCCATCCAACTGTTTATTCTTTGTTTGGCGTGAAATTGATATAGAATATGAATTTGGTAGCAAATGAAATTATCAATTGAATATAGTCAGGCAACAAGTTATATAGGTATATCAACTGAGGAGTTGAGTTGACAATAAGTTTAAAATGTTTTTTATCGGTCAGTTGAATACAAATCATAGAGATAGCTTCTCATATTTTTCTGTTTCATAATATAAAGTTATTATTTCAGGCAACATATCTACAAGCCGACCAGTTCTGTAGGGACATACATATGCAGTTGGTTACTGTGAAATCGAAGGAAGAGAATACTTTTCTGTATCAATTGATCCAGAGAAATAGTGAGTAAAACTGTTCATTTATAATAATTGTATGTGAATTTAGGATCTAATATCAACTGAAAATCTAGAAATTATATTTCCCGTTCTTCTTGCCCGCATTCATTATAACCTGATATTTCGTTTATCCATTCTCCAACTGTCGAAACATGCAGAGCTACTAGCAATGAGGTTTACGAAATCAAAAACACACCAATTTTACTTCTGCAGACTGAGGAAACCCCACATATAAACGCCCTGACCCTTAGATATTTTGTTATATATATATTTATATATTGTTCTCTAGGTACAAGACTATGGCTGCATGATATATGTATAGCTCAGCGCGAAAATCCAGATCGAAAAAGCTGGACTCAATACAGGGTACAGCATTGAGACTAGCAGCGTGGCTTTTAGAACCAGCATCTAATCACCTAACATTCACTGTTCTGTTGGGAGGAATATATACAAATCTTTCACACTGATCATGTTGAATGTTTCTGGTAACTTCATTATCAATATTGAATTCATTGAAGATCAGGGTCACTGCTGCTGTCATCACTGTCATCGTCACTCTCACCTAGTAGATTCATAATTTCGGGTATATCATAGGTTAATAATGGTAAATGTTCAGAATATTGAAGCTTCATTTCAGATGCCGATGAATATTGGACATCAGGTACTCGACTGGTTGACGGAAACAATTTCATTTGGATGTCCGATGCAACAGTTGTCGATTATAC